CCTCAGTTCTTGGTAATAATGGATATCTTTGGTGAAATTGCTACAATAATGACAGCAAATAGCTGTTTTGACTTCTGCTTGTGGAAACCTTGAGGTGCAAATTTCACTCAAGGTCTTAATGACTTAGATACCACACACTTCTCTATCAAGTATACACATTGATACAGCTCCCTTCTCTGTCAAGTATACACATAGATGTACAGCACTTCTCTATCAAGTATGCACATATAAATACAGCACTTCTCCATCAAGTATACACATAGATACAGCACCCTTCTCTATCAAGTATACACAAAGATACAGCATCCTTCTCTATCAAGTATACACATAGATACAGCACTTCTCTATCAAGTATACACATAGATACAGCACTTCTCCATCAAGTATACACATAGATACAGCACCCTTCTCTATCAAGTATACACATAGATACAGCACTTCTCTATCAAGTATACACATAGATACAGCACTTCTCCATCAAGTATACACATAGATACAGCACCCTTCTCTATCAAGTATACACAAAGATACAGCATCCTTCTCTATCAAGTATACACATAGATACAGCACTTCTCTATCAAGTATACACATAGATACAGCACTTCTCCATCAAGTATACACATAGATACAGCACCCTTCTCTATCAAGTATACACATAGATACAGCACTTCTCTATCAAGTATACACATAGATACAGCACTTCTCCATCAAGTATACACATAGATACAGCACCCTTCTCTATCAAGTATACACATAGATACAGCACTTCTCTATCAAGTAGACACATAGATACAGCACACTTCTCTATCAAGTATACACATAGATACATTACTTCTCTATCAAGTATACACATAGATACAGCACCCTTCTCTATCAAGTATACATATAGATACAGCACTTCTCTATCAAGTATCCACATAGATACAGCACCCTTCTCTATCAAGTATACGCATAGATACAGCACTTCTCTATCAAAAATGCAGATAGATACAGCACTTCTCTATCAAGTATCCACATAGATACAGCATCCTTCTCTATCAAGTATACACATACATAATATTAGTTATCCAGGTTCAGTCAAGAGATTTAATTACCCCTCTAATAAATAGGTGCTTTGTGGACACTCACTTAGAAGTACCGGTATTTTAAAGTTAAGAATGGAAACTTTTTCCTCTGTACGTAAAATATACTTGTTGCATGCTCAACTTCAATTTTTTTTTAAAGGAATATGCCAAATTTTGCCATGAATTGTAGAAATAAATAAAAAGGTTTCCATTCTTAACTTTAAAATACTTCCAAGTAAGTGTCCACAAAGCACCTATTTATTAGAGGAGTTGGAACAATATGTATTATGGTAGCTCTCCAATTAAATTAAAAAAAAAATAACGAGCAAACAAAAATAAAAAATGTGCAGCTGAATCTGTCTGTACTTTCTTATGCTAAACCTTTTATTTCTTGGAAGAATATAACGTGTATATTTTGGAACATTTAGGTTGGAAAGACAGTATTCCAATGCACAAGTAAAGTTAGAGAGGCCAGGCAGAAAACTCTGGTTCTCCCCTATGATCTTCCCCCCAGAGCCTATACAAAGGAAGGTAAATGTTTACTAGTAACTAAAAAATGTTTTGCTGTAACATTAATTTTGGACTTTACTCTTTTTTTTTCCCCAAGGAAAGAGTGTAATTGTCTTTCTGATTTTTTTATTTCATTTTTTTTCCCAGATAAACCATGGATATGGGACATAACACACAAAGAATTGCCAGATTCTCATGGAAATATGTGGTGTCCAAGTTGACATCACCAATTCCTTTACATTTCTGGAATGTGTTCATGGACTTTCACTTTACAAATATTATTTATTTATGAACATGAAATAAATGCATTTTGTTAAAATTGATTACTGATTCTTTTTTTTTTTTAATTTTTATAATTTCCTATATTTTCCTTTCAATGTTTTAATGTTTTTCTTAGAATAATGCCATCTAATTGGTGAAATTTTAGAATCTATCTAAAAAGGAATTTCAATTGTGGATTTCTATTGAGCTTGGAAGCCAGTGCAAGATACATTGTAATAAAAAGTAAAAAGTGTAACAAAACCATTCTTGGGCAGAATGCATTTTGTTGTATCCTAGATCCAAACTGTTCAAATTCCCACTGACCTCAGGCAAACAGTTTAGTTTTCTGAGTCCAACAAAATGCAGTTGCCTTCAGGCCCAGTCAATAAATGCATTTTATTTCAGCTTATTACTGACACCAAGGACCCATAAATACTAGTATATTAATTGTGTGTATAGTTCCTGCTGACACAATCTGGCCCGTAGGGAGCAATTTCACTCTGAGGGGGCACAACCATACATTTTTAGTTGGGGGGGGGGGACTATGAAGTACCAAATTTCCTTGACAAGCGAAAAAAAAAGGTCATCACATTATTATTGAGGGGGCACAAGCATATAGGAGCTATATTTTCTATATATCGGCAAAATTATTGCCCCCCCCCCCCCCCGGTCCTTACGGCCATGACTATAAAAATAACACATTTAGAATAAGTGCCCATGCTTTAATGATACATATTTTAAAATGATGCTTGTTTTGTTACAAAACAAGATTATAAGAAATATAGAAACATGTAGAAACAAGCTTCAAGCATTTGAAACATGATTGTAACGTCTTATTTTTTTTTTTCAAGTTTTGAAATTCTCCCACTTTGTAACTTTTATTTTATCGGGTTTGGCATTCCATAATTATTTATTCATGGTGGAAAAGGGATGCAGGTTAGTCGTCTGATCGTCATAATCGTTGAAAATATTTATAAATTGGCTAGCATTATTGGTTTTAATCAGACCCTAGCAACTTTTTCTACGAACTTTATCAACAAATACTGCCATCGTATTGCAATTCAAGTTGATATTTTTAGGCCTGATCGGTTGGCCAAGTGATGCCAGTTCGGACCCGGTTTCAGTAGTTTATGCTTACATATAAACTGATATAATACATCCACTTAATACTTACAGATCCTTATGCTCAGAACTGCATGATACTGAAATCAGTGTAGTTGAAAAGTAAGTCGGATTAGATCCAATATCTTGCTCTTTTTAATACAGTTGCTTACTGTCTTCTCATTGTACTGTTCACCAAAGGTACTTGGGTCTTGGTTTATAAATGTATGTATGTACCCACAGGCACTTGTTTCGTATGCGGGGCACCCCTCCTTATTTTTACCACAAGGTACCTAACTCAATTTCAGGCATCCCCGCTTCAAGCTTGTATTTTGTTTAATATATATTAATTATTAAGCTACTTTAAAATGACATAGTTTGCTTCAAATGACTTTTCTTGTCAAATCAATCGTTTCGGAGTCTCTGGTCAAGCCTCTTTATTGTAAACCACTCATTTCTTCCTCGAAAATTACCTCGATACAAAATAAGACTGTGAATGGGATACAAGTAGACTTCCAGTTGGGGTTACAAAAGTAGGATAAATCCAGAGACTTACGAGTATTCCTTTCCGAGGTCTCTGGTTTTATCATTCATTTATAACCCCAACTGGAAGTCTTTGTATCCCATTCAAAGTCTTATTTTGTATCGAGGTAATTTTCGAGGAAGAAATGAGTGGTTTACAATAAAGAGGCTCGACCAGAGACGTCCTTAACGATTAATTTGACAAGAAAAAAGTCTCTCGAAGCAAACGATGTCATTTTAAAGTAGGTTAATGATTGATATGTAAACAAAATACGAGCTTGAAGCGGGGGTGCCTGAAATTGAGTTAGGTACCTTGTGGTAAAAATAAGTAGGGGTGCCCCATAGATCTATACGAAACAAGTGCCCGTGTATGTACCTCATTGATATGTAAAAAAAAAAAAAAAAAAAAAAATGAAATATTTCTATCTCATAATATGTAATTCTTTTAATTGTTACACAAATTTCAGATGCAGACTAACCAGACTTTTTACAATCAATTTTTTTTCACAAAAAAATATTTTGAAGAAGGTAACTCTCGTAGATGGATGCATTTTTATTTTACAAGCACAGAAAACAACGTGATATTCTGATTTAAAAAGCAACGCTTCATTATTTTTTCTAATGTGAATTAGATAGGTATGATAGTAAATATTATTTTCATATATAAATACCTCATATTTTTAATTTTAGGGTGAGATAAAAAAAATATTGTTCTTTCTATTCACCATATCAAATTTTCTTCATATCATGATTAGACATATTTATTTCTGAAAAAGTAAGCAACGCTTCATACTTCATACTATTTTCCATTAAAATCTAATGCTATTGTTGTTGATGAAAATCAATGTTGGGAATTTATTAAAAAAAAAAAAAAAAAAAAAAATTGGTGAAATTTGGAGCAGAGGGATATTTCACCTTAAAAAGAATTAAATGATGAAATCTTATTTCAAATGAGATATTTAAGAATTAAGATGCATTAAACAAAAATATGATGTGATATTCCTCCTCAATTTAAGAGGATAACACAATTAAATGAAATGTTTTCTGTTTCAATTACAAGTGTACTCTAATATAAATTTGTCCTAACATTATAGCTATCACCTACAGCAAAAGTGATTCATCTGTACCTTAAAGTCATATATTTCATTTGGTAGTGGTTACATGTTGTATCTGAATTTGTTCATATAATTTGTGACACACTGATTTCATGTATAGTTTGCATTCCAATAGACATAAGCTGTGTATTGAAACAAATTTTTATCCAGATGAAATTTAAGGTGTTTTATGGAGCTTAGAGAGCATGACACTTTGCAGGTTCAAGTGTCATTTAAATGTCTCAAACAATGATAAGTCCATTGTAATTAAATGAAAACTGGGCTGGTCTAGGATTTTAAGTAGATAAATGTATATCTTTATTTTATCTTTGTTTGGTGAAGTTCATGCTACATTGTCTGTGTATATGATTATAATCATTTTTAGGGGAGACCTTCATATGCTAGTCCAGTCCACACAGAATACCAGATAAGGCTTGTAAAAGGCAAAAAAGACCAAGAGAAAAGAAAACAGCATAGGTTTTCTCATAAGAATTATCAAGGCAGATTATTTTCAGAAGTTGAGCTAATCTTCTATTTAGCGTGTTAAAAATGGGATGCAATGAAAAGAAAACTTGTGTGTCTTTGGTTTTGTGAGTGTGAATTGAAGTGTAACCAAGCGCACTGTGGGAATGATGACAAAACAAGATTTCTACCCGCTAGTCCTGTTAAAGTCAGAAAATTGTGATGAGAGAATTGGTTGCCATGGACACCATTCCTGAGACTTTGCTTTTCTTTCCTGATGAAGAAACATACAGCTGCATCATAAAAAGGTTTGATATAGAGATTTTTTTTTTATTTAATAAAATGTACTCTTCCTGTATACAGGACTATTGGACATGCTTGATGACTATATGTCTTTTCATGATTATAGAAACTTGGGGGATATTTAAGAAAATGTACTGTACTATTTCTTTTCATTGTGAAGTAATTCAAAATTTTCTAATGATTGAAGAACAAATTTTGGGAGATTGACAATTATATAGTGAAGCAATAGAATTTTAATTTCTATGCCATCATTTTCATTGGCATTTTTTTTTCTTTTTAAAAAATAAATCTGATGTAAACTAAAGATTTACATAGAGTTTCATTGGCATTGCTTAAGTAATTTCCAGAGTTTACAAATATTATACAGATATTGACTGGGGTTGAGGGCAACATTGATTATGTTAGCCCCAAGGGATGAAATATTTCTTGACAGGGAGTGGAGGGAAATATTATCATTCTGAATCACTAAATTACATTTTGTTTTCATTCATTCAATTTCAACAACTGATGGAAACAATTCATTTATAATTTGTATTCCATGCATTATGTGCACTTTGGTTATAGTGTTAGTGTGTCCTGCCATAGCTGTGTTTTTCTAGTTTTTTATTGTGACGTCATGCTTTTCAGAAGTTGTGACGGTATCATTAGGTCACACTTAAAATCAATAACAAGTTTGGGAAAATTCTTTTTGTCAAAAGTAAAAAATTAAATGACTGTCAATATTTTTAGGAGGAACTAATATAATTAATTATGTTGACTGTTTCTCTATGTAGAGAATACTATTCTTTACTGAATAAAACAATGAAATGTATGGACTCCAAGCAAAAATAGAATATTTTTACAGTTGCCAATATATTCTTGTTTCTTTGCATATTTTGGGTAGATTTAGGAATTGCCATGGGTATATAGTTAAATCATACTGAAATAGGGGTCAGGTATAGATCGATCAGTTTGGTTGATATTTTCCCAATTATAAATTTAAACGTACAGTGTATTATTTGAATTTGGAATTATTTCGCTTGTTCTTTAAATCATCGCTCACAATTTCTTTAACAAAAGGGAAGTTGCATGTGTACTTTTATGAAAATAGCTTCAAAAGTGATTAAGACAGAAATTTAATTTTTTTTTTAAAATCTATTACAGTTTGAAAAAAAAAGTTATCTGTTTGCATTTTACATATTTGGATTAAAGTGTCATTTCAGAATATCATTTTGTTGCCAAGAATGACATGAAAGTGTTAATATGTTTACACAAAATGTGAAGTTTTATGTGGGTGCTCAACCAGATTCAATAAACTACCTTTCTAGGTACAATTTACTTTTCATGTTATTTATGACCAATTTTAAATGCTGTCAATTATGTTCTTGAGGCTTATTTTATCTGTTGCCAAGCTTAGGGGCAAGTTGCATGTTATTGATAAGAATATTTTACATCAAGTGCATTACATTCACAATATAATGCACTTGAAAACAGCTGAAACTATGTGCACTCCCCTAAATTGTTTTGCATTGTTTAATTGATAAGATTTTCTAGTGTACTTCAAAACATTTATAAATACTTAAATTTCAACTCTTGACATGTATGTGATTCTTTTCTAGCAAAGAATTGAGTTTTAAAAGAAATCTTTTATTTTTTATGCCATTGTATTAAAAAGAGAAAAAAAGAAGAAAGAAATCTTTTCAGTCATAGCAAACTAAAAACTGCCAGGAAAAGTACATACTCTAAATATACAGTCTCGTATGAAGAAACACAAATAGAAAATAATCATGATAATGATTTCTTTGTCAGGACAATGTTAGTCAATTAGTAATCAAGTAAATCTCTACAAGAAGTGTGTATACTTATATAAAATTAATTGATATTCATCAGGAAAGCTGATGGACATGACAGTTCTATATATGCTTTTGTTCTTTCGTCATAATTCACAAATGCCCCAGAGATCTGGTCATTAATAAACACTGCTTGACCATACGGTTCCTGCCCAGTCTGGTAATGCACTGGACTACTGACCAGATGGGTATGGTTTCTATTGGAATGTAGCAATGTCCATGATGTAGGTGAAGTTTTCCCTTAGCTTACTATAGTTATATGATATATAAATTATTATAACTTTTATTGCAAGAATGTATGTATTTCATTATTAAATTAAGAAAACTTGATTGAGCTGTTAAGAAATCAGAGGTTAGTATAAAGTCTGAGAGTTTTATAATGATTTGATCTCACTAGATTAGAGCTGTGAATTTTTTGTTAGCTTTATGGATAATTGACCAGAACAGGTTCTGTTTACTTTGATATGATGGAAGATAAGAGACTGGTAGGTTCTCATAATCAAAAAGCCAAATATTTCTGCATCTGTGTATAGTTCTGAGAAATTGTTTGGTAGAAACCAGATTTTCTGAAAAAGTGCCAAAGTGAAGTGTTTGTGCTGAAGTTAATTCTTCCTGTATGTTGAGCAACATATAGCTGACGTATGGTGAAAGATACAATAGTATCAGCACACGATGGACAAATACTATGTGCATTGTGATTTCACTAAAGGTTCTGTATAGACAAGAACTTTAATTCTTTTAATACATTCATTTCTCAGTGAGAAATTTTCACAGAATTCTGTGATAAATGAAGAAAACTGTTTTTCATCATGGTGACTTAAAGGAAAGCATGGTGCCTGACTCTGAGGAGATCAGGAAAATGGCTAAAAAGAAAATGAGGACAGGGTTCACGAAAATCAAAATGTATTTGAAGGAGCCTCGGAGTAGTGATGAAATGTGGTGTATTTTCAGAGTGGCTACCCCGGGAGAACCACCACCTGCAGAGGAAGAAAAGGGGGAAAATGAACTTGAGACAGAAATCAAGGAAAATAATGGGATGGAAAGAAAAGCAGAAAATTCGCCTCAGGAGGGGGAAGGAGACAGGAGTTACAAAGGGGGTAAGTTTCTGTGTTTTGTTGCCAAATCTTGATATTCTCTTCATATGCTTTCATACATTTTGTACATTCTTTCTCATAGCAAAGGCTGTAGCTGGATTATGTCAGTTCTTATTTAGTATACATTGATATGACATAACTTACTAGCTAGCTAATAGTATTGTACAATAATTTTATGATTTCCATTTCTATAAAAAAATTTTGATCTGTCTAGCAATCAGATTTCTCATTTTTGATGCTAACTTTTATTAACAATTTAAAACTAAATTTATTTCGTATTTCAATTTTGTACATCATGAAATCTAGAGTACTACCTCATATACTTGCCTATAAGTTGGATTTTTTGGAGGTTTAGAAATTTTCGTCCAAAACTCTATGTCTGACTTATAAGCAAGTCCTAGAAAAATCAGTATTTTCTAAAAGAGCACCTGTAGAAATTTTGTTACAGCTTCAAGGATAGTCATTTATAAAGGTCAGAACTTAAATCTAATACATATTTTTATGATCTTATATTTGTTTAAATTGTTAATAAAAGATCAAATATCAATATCACACCCAAAACTTTCTTTGAAACACAGGTAAATACAATTATAGAAAATTTATCTGAAATTGGTAAAAATTCTGGCAAAAAACTGTACCAATTATAAGCAGGTCAGTGGCAAATTCCTCCAAAATAATCTGAAAAAGTACAACTGACTTATAATCAAACCAACTTATAGGTAAGTATCTGATACCTTCTAGTACATGCTAAAGAACTGGAGAGTATCTAATACATTTAATGGAAATCTAGGGTATACCTCCTACACTTATAAATCAGAATCAAGAGTATATATAGTACATTATCTTCCCACGAAAGTCTGTGTGTCACAGTGTTGACAGGATGATAGATTCTGTAAATCAGATCAGAGGCTAGATATAATGAAGTACTGAAATGTTTATTTTCAATCAAAGACTACATACTAAAGAATTTATTGGTCTCAGTCTTCATCAGAAGACTGTATAGTGTCCATAGTATTTCTTTATTCATTATGAAGTGATAATTTTTGTTCATTTTCTTACACTACTTTAATATGTGTGTATTTAATAAGAATTGGGTAATTATAAAAGTGTTAAATTTATTATTTGTTAACAATGAACCTAAATGATGGTTTTAAAAAATTAGTTAACATGAATGATGTGAATATGTTTTGTAGAAGAATTAATTCAACAATCATGACAATGGAGTGGATACACACAAGTTTAACACAGATGTTTTTTTTTTTTTACTTTATCCAAAAGATTTTTAAACATAGAAATGGGCATTTTTATAATGAGGGTATTCAACCTTGCTAATGGATAAATGTTCACATGACTTGATCGATGTTTCAATATTATAATAAAAGTCTTGTATATACACTATTTACATTCCTTTTAGGATTAAATATAAAGCATTTAGATTCAGTGTAAACTTTCTTTTCTGACCAAATGTTTAATGATGTAATTAATTTGCTACATTAGTTGCCTTAGTCTTGAGGGCAGAAAAGGACATTGTATGTCTTACTTTAAATCATTGTCAACAACACTAATTAAGGGAAAATGCTGTCAGGAAAATTTCTATTCTTATTTCAGTATTTTACTTGTATGCATGTTACATTACAATATCTGCAAATTAGTGTCAAGAAAAATGGATAATGAACAGTAAGATTGCCCCTTGATGAGAAACAGAAATTGAAATCACAATTATTTGAGATTATCTGGAAGTCAAAGATACTTATGTGAAGGGGTAGTTAGGATTAAGGTAATCATGGACTTGTAGGACCTCTATTAATACCTTCCACTTTTCTTTTATTGTCAGGTCTTAAAGTCAAGGGATAACTATTAAGTAGTTGATTGTCCTGATTAAATTGTGCCAGGTAATGGCTCTTGTAGTTATGTAATTTTGACAAAATGTTGATGTATTATGATTTAAACTTTGTACTGACTAATGCATACTTTTGTAGATGTTTGAAAAAGGGGTCAAATGTTTTAATGCTTGATTCAATGTAGTTCTAGTGGATTTTTTTAAAACATTGAAAATTTGATTTTCTGATATTTTGGGAACTCAAATGGTGAGTAGTAGAAATTCCAATATATATCAAAATATGAAGTGCCTTGATCAATTACAGATGTGGCTAGGTATTAATCTTTATTTCATCGTAGGATGTTGTAGATTGTCAGAGTCAATTAATTTCAGTTCAAGACTAAATGGATGGGTCGAAATTGTTTGAATAGAACAATTTGAGTAACCTATAGAGACCACAATATTTCTTTTACTGCTAGCTACTCACTCTTGCATTATTTTGTAGCATTATTTTGAGTGAACTTTTAGGAACTGCTGTAATAATAATTCAAAGGAGATTAAAATGATCTTTGTGCAATTGTATCAATTGTATATATGTTTGTATATTTAGAACAATGAACTTTTTAAATGAATATTGGTAGCTAAATTGTAAGATTAAGGAGAGCTCTACATAAAACAAGATTTCGTCTAGACCTTTCATTTTTTAATACTTTATTGATTGTAAAGGGCACTATTTGATTTCTTTATGTTAAAGGAAAAGATTAATCATCTTAGGCAGATGTTTATGGTCAAAAGGTGGTTAAATTAGTGCCATGGCCATATTTATCAATTTAATACATGTACTTCCCTGCTCATATTTTCAAAATCAAGCATTCTATTTGCAACACATTTTAATGTGCACCACTGCATGTATACATTGACATGTCCATTTATAATGGGGAAGAATGTCAATGGTTGTTGATTTTTGTAAGTGTAAACTTCCCTCGCAATAATATGTACATGTTGAAGAGCTGCACATTGGAAATGTCACAGAGATTTGAGCGTTACATTCCAAATTAAATTTCATACAAATCCCAGTACAGTGGTGAAAAAACTTGTAATGACAGTTGGTAGATGAGCAAGTAATCTGGAATTTTAACCCACTACTAACAGTTATGTCTGAAACAAATTTATTTATTAAGTTTTTATGTGAGGTAATGGATGGAACTTTACTTTGATCATCAAGGTAGGTAATTCAGACTGAGAAACTCATTCTGAACCAGATTATTTTTGTATTCAGATTCTTTGGATCAGCTCTAAATAATAATCTCTGCTTTCTTTATATATTTAACCTAAATTTATATTTAGCTAGCTGTCATACCCCAGGATTTCACATCTAATGAAAAAAAAAAGAAGAAACTGTTTGTCCTTAAGATTGGAATATAGACCTCAGATTCTTCATGTCTAGTGGAACTGAGTCCTAACAAGCAGTGAATTTAAATCCCCAGCTTATAGAAAGGAAACAGAGAGAGAATTGAGGACTTTTTATAAAGTATGGCTTTACCACCAGGTTAAGAGTGTGGTAAGGGCTGCTAATAGTTAATTCTCTTGTTCATGTCTGGATTGAATTGGACAAGGAGATATTTAGCTGGTGTGGGATTTGTTTTACTGTTCAGGATATGGGGCTAGACCTCTGTAGTGACATACTGATTCAGTATGAGTGAAATTGTGGGTATCTTGTGTGAATACTCTAACAGGATATGATATTTTCTGTTTATATGAATTGCAGTATTTTGTGTTGGAATAGATCCAGACTTGTTGAAGTTCACAGAAAATGAACCCTTGTAAGTGGATTTTTTAATCAATTTTTAGCTCACCTCGACGAAGTCGAGATGAGCTTATGCTATACCCCCGGCGTCGGCGTCGGCGTCGGTGTCGGCGTCGGCGTTAGCGTCGGCGTCCCAGGTTAAAGTTTTAGGAGCAAGTCCCATTCCCAAGTAACTATAAGCCCTACCTGGACCAAACTTACATGGATGATGCATCTAGGGATGGACATGGCCACACTTGCTTCGGATGCTGGATCTGACCTAGATTTTCCAGATGAGTGACCAGGTTAAAGTTTTAGGAGCAGGTCCATTCCTAAGTAACTATAAGCCCTACCTGGATCAAACTTGCATGGATGATGCATCTAGGGATGGACACTACCAAACTTGCTTCGGATGCTGGATCTGACCTAGATTTTCCAGATGAGTGACCAGGTTAAAGTTTTAGGAGCAGATCCATTCCCAAGTTCCTATAAGCCCTACCTGGACCAAACTTGCATGGATGATGCATCTAGGGATGGACACTACCACACTTGCTTCGGATGCTGGATCTGACCTAGATTTTCCAGATGAGTGACCAGATTAAAGTTTTAGGAGCAGGTCCATTCCCAAGTAACTATAAGCCCTACCTTGACCAAACTTTCATGGATGATGCATCTAGGGTTGGACACTACCACACTTGCTTCGGATGCTGGATCTGACCTAGATTTTCCAGATGAGTGACCAGGTTTAGATTTAGGAGTACTCTCGTTCCCAAGTAACTATAAGCCGTACCTTGACCAAACTTGCATGGATGATGCATCTAGAGATGGACATGGCCACACTTGCTTCGGATGCTGGATCTGACCTAGATTTTCCAGATGAGTGACCAGGTTAAAGTTTTAGGAGCAGGTCTATTCCAAAGTAACTATAAGTCCTACCTGGACCAAACTTGCATGGATGATGCATCTAGGGATGGACACTACCACACTTGCTTCGGATGCTGGATCTGACCTAGATTTTCCAGATGAGTGACCAGGTTAAAGTTTTAGGAGTAGGTCTATCCCAAGTACCTATAAGCCCTACCTGGACCAAACTTGCATGGATGATGCATCTAGGGATGGACATGGCCACACTTGCTTTGGATGCTGGATCTGACCTAGATTTTCCAGATGAGTGACCAGGTTAAAGTTTTAGGAGCAGGTCCATTCCCAAGTAACTATAAGCCCTACCTGGACCAAACTTGTATGGATGATGCATCTAGGGATGGACACTACCACACTTGCTTCGGATGCTGGATCTGACCTATATTTTCCAGATGAGTGACCAGGTTAAAGTTTTTGGAGCAGGTCCATTCCCAAGTAACTATAAGTCCTACCCGGACCAAACTTGCATGGATGATGCATCCAGGGATGGACACTACCACACTTGCTTCGGATGCTGGATCTGACCTAGATTTTCCACATGTGAGACCAGGTTTAGATTTAGGAGTAGTCTCGTTCCCAAGTAACTATAAGCCCTACCTGGACCAAACTTTCATGGATGATGCATCTAGGGATGTACACTAACCAACCTGCTTTGAATGCTGGATCTGACCTAGATTTTCCACATGAGTGAATTTTAGCCATATTTTAACCAAATTAGCATGGATGATGTATCTAGGGATGGACACTTCCAGACTTGCCTTGGATTCTGAATCTGACATACATTTTCCAGATGAGTGACCAGGGTAATATTTTTTGAAGTAGCTATATAATATTATGGCCTGTTATGATTAAACTTGCATAGATGGTGCATCTAAGGATGAAAACTTCCAGACTTGCTTTGGATGTTGGAACTGACCAAAATTTTCTTGATTACTAAACAGGTCAAAAGTTTTTTGAGCAGGTCTATAATTAAATCAAACTTGCATGGATATTGATCTTGGGATGTACCCTAACTAGAAAAAAAATATGTGAAATTTGCCTTACATGTAGATAACATTCGTCGAGGTGAGCTTCGTAATCTTTGATTACCTATGTTTTTGTGTTTTGCGCATATTTTTCACATAGTGTGAACATCTGTGTTTCTTTATTCAGTATACAAGATGCCTCATTGTGCACAGTATCTTCTCTTATCTTCAGAAATAAAACACATCGTTATGAGTGGAATATTAAAATATATGTACAATACTATTTCTTGTTGGAGGCAAACTTAGTAATTTCAGATGAAGATTTCATACTAAGATCATTATAGCATTATTGCAGTGCTCTCTCTCTCTCTTTTTCTCTCTTAGTGACCCTCTGAGTAAATTGTTTCTGTATTTATTGAAATAATTTGTCATACAAGAGTTTAAAATTCTTGAATTTGCTCTGGGTTTCAATTCATAACCATTTCTACTGAATATAAAATTAACAAAACTTTTCAGTTTTTAGTTAAGCCTTGGTAATTTCTTCAGGAATTGGTCAAAATTAGGTTTAATTTTCCACAGATTTGCACCTGAGTATTTGATTCTTACAACAATAGATATTAAACAGTTGGTGGGCAAAACATCTTAGTTTGACAGATCAATATTTTTAGGAATACACTATGAATGCAGATATTGATATTTGATGTGACAGCTGTATACAGTTGCCTCTATCTTAAATGTTTGGCATTGATAAGATATTTCTAGTCTGGGGGTGTTGACAAAGAGGTTCAGGTGGTAGAGTGTGTCTAAGACATTTTCTAGACTTAAGCGCCATGTCCATTATATATATATTTTAACATATGAAGTAACAATTAAGATAAAAGGAATTTGGAGATAAGAGACGATTATCACAATTTGATTCAATGGTTTTTGCAGTCATTATTAAATGAGAAGTGAATTTATATTAGGTGATTGAACAAATGAATAAATGTGATAGTATTCAATATGTTTAATGATATTGTGCAGATCCAAATACTTTTTTTTTGTCAACAAACAATTGTATTTTCCAATTCCCTTAAAGAACATGTATGGTAATGACCTATGGTGATTCATACAGAGTTTTAGTTTTTAAACTGTTACACTTCAATATATAAAGAAGTTTACCTTTTCATACTATCTTTTACAGTGTTATGTCAATTCAGATGTTTTGTACTCAGAAATCCCTTCTCCGGTTTTGTAAAATGGAACCTATTGAATTCTGAAGACCATTAACTAAATTGAACTTTCCTGCCAATTCTTTTCAATATATCTATAACTGTTTATATAAACAGATGTTTTGTCGCAAGAAGATAGATATACAATACTTGGGTAAGAAATTCAGGTGTGTATTGGCAAGTTAGTTAAATATTGACCTCCCTGCTTTTCGATAGTGTCCAAACAGATAACCATATCAGTTGTGGGACATTTAATGAATTTGATGTATTTTTAATCTTCTGGAAAGATAAGATTGATCAGACATGTAAGATCGTTTATTTTAAATTTACCTGTAGATCTAGCTGTGTGTACATTAGATGTATAGGGAAGGGCCAAGTTAATAATGGATTAACAATTGGCTGAACTTGCTGTTCAATTCTGATTTCCATGAGCTTACTGTGAGATAACAATCATTTTTTTTTATGGAGAACATTTTCAAGTGGTGTCACATGGACTCTTTATGATGTTGAAATTCTGTTTGGTGTCATTTTTTAAACACTTTTTCCACTGATTGAAGATTATAATGGAAGATTTAAACCCTTTGAATTTGGGAGAATCAAAGACATGATTTGGCTTCTAATGGATCGAATGTGAAAAAATTCTTTTGTTTTGCTTTCTGTGGAAGGTAAATTTACAATTAATTTAGGTGAAAAGAATGAGGGGAAAAAAAGTGTTTTTAGTCATTAAAATTTCTTCTTTTTTTTTCAGCCATGGAGCAAATTCAGCTGACAGAGCAGATAGCAATGGTAAATATTTTATATTGAGATATACATTCCACAATCTGGTATATATCAGTTTCTTATCTGGTAATTGTCAGTAATTACAGGGCAGAAAAATATTCTTGTTAACATGGGTCAGGGTTTGACCTCAAAGTATGGAATGATATTAATCAACCCAATAGATCATGTCAATTATAGCAATCTGATATAAATAATTTTCATAAATTTATTATGTGTGTATTATTTCTTACAGATCATGCAATGTATGCATTTGTCAAATTGGAACTTTATTTATAAAGTAAATTGTCCTTAACAAAATCCTAATGACAGACTAAGTTCCTACTTTTTTGGTTCAATTTACCAGTATAATGAAACATATAGAAATATATTTTATTGAATGTTAGTAAGCCAGCATTTGCCAAAGTAGAATTGCATACTTATTTCAAAGATCCAAAGAAATGATTTACAAAGTAACTATTTTTTGCAAATAATTAGAAAAGTATGATATAATGATGATTAGAAAGCATATACCAGACACCACCAAGTAATGATTATGTCATTTATAGCAACAGTTCCTGGTTCATTTAAAGAGGATAAAAGTCAACTTCCTATGTTCCTAATTTCTGAAGTACCTGTCATTTCCTCATCGTAATTTACAGTTTCATAAGTGATGATAAACCATTGGTTACAAAATTCCGACCTATCTTTAGAGATCAAAGATCTCTTGAACTTGAATTTATTTTCATTTTAGTGAATTATTTTTTTCCATGAATTCATTTGGTTCTGAATGTGTTAATTTTAAATAGAAACAATGATAAAAATCTAACTGTATGAAGAAAAAAATTATTAGGCGATTTTATTTCCTTGTTCTTTTCACCCAAAAGCATTTCATTTAAAATTCATTTAAGGAATAACTGTCTAATTTTTTGGATTCATGATGTGATCAATCGAGTGGCTTGCGTGATAATTTGCATAAACGCCTTCGGCGTTTATGCATAAAATTATCACGCAAGCCAATCGATTGATCATCGTCATGAATCCAAAAAATCTGACAGTTATTCCTTATATTTACATGCTCCTGATTCTGCAAATTCCCGTGCTAATAGCCCCGCTTCTGTCTCTATTTGTCCCGCCCCGCACGTGATTTTTTTTTAACCGCGCCTATCGATGAACCAGTAGATTTATGTAGAAATAAAGTATTTTTACATTTTGTAATTTTATCTCGGACAAAGACATTGGAAATGTAAATAATATGATATCAGTCCATTATAAATGTGTATTTAAAAACTTTTGCCTCTAACAGAGATATATGTGTTCTATTATTCTCTGACTGGTCTGAAAATTAGGATGAGAATAGCTGAAATAAATCTGGTTTAAAATTACCCCATAATACATGTGAACATATACTGTATACACCAATATAAAGTTGCTATCTTTGAGCTTAGTGAAAGAGCAGTTTATTCTTACATGGCTTTAGATGATATCATTTGCATTGTCTGTTAAAACAGAATAATTATAGTGACAAAATATTCTGTGTGTAAAACATATTTGCACATATTTACTTAAGATGTGATTTCCCTTTAAGATTTCTTTGAATGAAATTCTAGTTCACATCTTCATGAACTACATCTGATGCAGAGTAAATGGCTCTACTTTAAGTTAAAATGAGGGGACAAAATCTCAAATAGTTTGTGAATTTTAGTGCATCTGAATGAAATCAATAGTTTTAATTAAATATGATTAATGTTCTTCAGTTTGATATGTTCATGAGGATATGACCTGATACGCCTATTTTTCATTAAGAGCACATGCACCTTATGGAGTATACCTCCAGGGTAAAAAGTACCAGATCATACCTTCTGGAATTTTCAAAACTAAAATATTTTTCATATATATACTTGTACCTACACTCAGGAATTTGTGTTGCTTTTTCGGCTTAATTATATTGATTATAACTCAGGTTCAGGACATGGTGCAGGAGATGAAGCTAAGTTTCACTTCAGCCATGGAGGAGCTGGCCAAGACGCAGTACGGTGACGAGTCTCTACAGCAGCAATTGTCAGCTGACCGGGAGAGCAATCTACGACAGATTACAGAACTCACCGACCTAGTCAGAAGTCTCAAGGTCAATTTTTTCTTGATATTCAAGGGCATAGGCAAATGACAACATGTATACTGAATCATTCACTGATCTAACAGTGAGATATATGATGAAAAAGTCTTTAGTTCAATGGCTAATCTGAATTTCTGGTTCGAAATGTTTTCAGGTGTTTAACATAGTTAACACATTATAGATTGATAAATGTACATGTATCACTATTATCAGCCACACTTTTCATAGAGCACTGACCATCCTTGTGAATTATGGAGAGAAGATAAAATATAATTTAGCATACCAAGTTTCATGTATTTGCATTTTGAATAAGTTCAAATCTATAGAGTATTTCAATATGCTTGATATACAAGTAACCTATACAATGTACTAAAATACATCTTTATTATAAGTACACACCAGTAGAACTACAGTCTCATCAGTGACTTCTGGTTAAATGAATCTGTTCCTCTTTATAGGTAAACCTTATTTTATTTCTTTTGCAGTCAGAGGTAGACTCAATCAAAACAGAGCTAAAAGGAGTTGTAGCAACACAGAAAACCTGGGAAGAAAAGTATGTAACATTGAAGTTAAGAGTCAGATTTATAATATCCTAAGAAGTTAATCTAAGGTCTCTCCATGTTTTATGTAGTTTTGGCCCAGATCAGACAGATATTGCTTTTCATCTAGGAAGATGAATCAAAGACTTCTAACTCAGGTCTTTATGTCTTATGTTTACAAGCTTTTTTGGAGGATATTTGTAAAAAGTAACAATCAGCTGTTTGTAGAGTAGAGTTTTATCTCATCATATTATATGCCATTCTAAAGGGGATTGAAACCTGGGGCATATTACATGAATTTTTGCTCTGCTGTCTGTTTGTTCATGATTTTAACTTTGGTAATACCTTTCGGACTACACATTTGATCAAAGTATAAGTCATGACTACAAGTCAGGTTATGGCCATTTTAAGATGTCACAGGTCAAATAGGAATTTTGGTATTGTTTTCACAAATTCATCCTACTTTAATTTGTGGATAGATTAGAAGAATTGTGGTTTTCTAAGTTCATGACTTATTTTCAGTCCAGGCAAAGTACAGTGCTAGTATAGTAAAACTCGGTTATAGCAAAGTCCCATGCACCTGTGGATTTATGTTACTATATCCTTAATCTGTTATATCCGAACAATAAATTCATAAAAAGTATAAATAACGAATTCAAAATATAAATTTTTTCCTTCATTTGACTACCGAATATGCTCATTGAAATACCCGGTACATGTATTATTTACAAAACCTATTTTAGGTTTTTAGTAGGGATGTCAACGAATAGTCGACTATTCGACTGTCAGTCGAATGGACCGACGATCGAATAATGAAACGACATTCGAATATTATAATTTTAAAAAAAAATGCAATAAAGGAGTGATAACGATATGAAATTCTCATTTCAAAATTGAGAAACCGTCTTTCCTCGGAGACAGTTGATAAGATAGTTTTCCTCTACAAAAAAACTTGATTTTCCATGTGCGTATAGAAAGTACAGTAATTATAAATGCTTCACTACCGCGAGAATTAAAAAAAATTATCTACCAGTTACTGCTTGTGTTGTTTTTGTAATAAATCAACCATCAACATATATCTGGGCTTTGTTTGTAAAAAAAATTAATTGGACTTGATTTTATACGATGTACCAATTATCTTTTATTTTAAGATTGCTCAAATGCGAGGAACATGTGACATGTTTTGACGCTTCGATAATTATTAGAACAATTCGCTTGCATTTTAAATTGTTCATAATTAAAGACATTTTGATAGCCAGAACCATCAATAAATGAATAAGCAGTAACTAACTGTTTAACAATTTAACAGCCACCTGGCGTTTGGATAGTGTGAGATTACCCCTCCCCCCCCCTAATTTATTTCACAATAAGCTTTAAAAAATATCGGCTAGCAAATTTTGAATGCTAACTAAAATAAAAACTAACTGCATGTACAGACCAATTTATGAATTCAATTGATGGGGAAATCATGAATTTAGGAATATTAGATTTCTAAATTCATTTCATATAACCTTGCTATCCAACGTTAAGCTGCATTAATTTTTATGTTACTTTTTAAACAGATTAAGGGTTTTTGAGTTATAAATACGTCATGTACCAGTGAAATTTGAACTAAAATTTTATTCTCAGAAAATGTTCCGAATATTCGACTATCGTTCGAATAATGCAATCGAATAATCGACTAAGAAAAATAAATATTTTGACATCCCTAGTTTTTAGAGAACTTATAATAAGTTTCTGTTTGATAAAGTTTCAATTATAAATACTTATACAAAAAATAATATCAGTTTAATGTTGCTGATTTTTTCAATTTTGGGACCTTGAAAAAAATCATTATAAAAGATGTAAATTTCATTAATTTTAACCTTTATGGGACAGAAAATCAACTTCCTACATCCATAAAAATGTTATAAAAGAGTTCCTTATAAATGTTAAAACTTTCTAGGAATTGTTAAGAATATTCCCAAGGACTAAAAAAAAACTGCTATAGCCATAAATTCACTGTCTATATTCATGCAAAATGAGTTTTACTGTATATATATATTTGTTGTTTTAGGATGGATAAGTCTTGAGGACATTTACCATTTGATTATTGCTTTCTTAAGAATGAAAATGCACTTTAATTACTCAAAGCACAATATTTAATCCACATACATTCAAGTTGATGACACATGCATATATCACTTTATACAAGGCTTGTTGTGCAATTCTAATTTTGAATGATGTGAAGTATTTAGTCTGTAGAAAGTGATATGAATGGCTTTAGAAAGTGATATGAATTGTATACAGTGTTCAAAATGAGAATTTTATACCCTGAATTTAATTTTATTATCCATATCTTTAACCCCTTTGCATCATTAAATACCCATTACAAAAGCTGATCTGAATGAAAATGTGGTAGACTGAAGATCAGTGTGTCTATAAAATGGAGAAATTATTTACAAACTTTCCACTGTATGATGAAGCAGTTCTTGAGAGATTTTATTTCCATAAGTTATCATGTAGATCAGACATTAACTATTGTATAGTGGAGTAACTTTACATGGGAGCACTAACTTTTTACTGTCAATAAGACCTTGTAAATCTGATCTTTACAAAATTCTGTGTCATTTCTCCTCGTTTTGTTTGTGCCGGTAAATGGAAGAATTTAGGAAGGTATCTAGTTAAAGTAGAATGTGTACCAGTATCGGTACAAATTCTTTTTTGCGTACAGTGTATGTTATTTGATGTTTCTATGTAACATATAATCTAATAATTATACTTCACACAAAGAACAGCTGAGGGGAGGATATACATTTATAGAAATCACTCTCTCTGCCATCATGTCAGCAGCATTTAAAACTTGTGAGCAAGCTCAAGCAGGCTGCCTACTGTTACAGTACCTACTTTTTCCTACTTTTTCCTACTTTTCCTATTATTCCTTGATCCTCCTTTATCCTTCTTTTCCTTAAAATCCCCACTTTTAAATAAAATAAACTAAAATAGAGAGGATTATACCGGTAAATAAAACTGAGTGAGAAAAAAGATAAGGTGTTGGCAGTTGCTTCCACTTAAAAAAGACATGATATTGATTCTGATACACACCTCATTCTTAATTTACACAGCAAAGGACTGTTCAGATTATATCAATAATTATACAATGATTTTAAATCTAGTATAAATGCTTAGTGTGGATGAGATTTCCTTTTTTTTTTACTGTGGATGTATAAAGTCACTTAAAATAACTTTTTTAAAAAGTAAAACAATATTCATTTTACAATTGTGTAGGGCTTAGGATAGAAAGAACATCACTTCTTAGACAAAATCAGATCCAATCATTGACCAGGAGAGTCCATTTCTATTTAATCATAAAATTTCATGTTGAAATTTAGACTAATTCACTGTAAATCTCCTTTTATGGACACTCAAATTTAGCTAGCTTAACTTTTTTTCATTATCTAAAATTACTTATGACTATGTCACCATGAAGTCATAAGATTAGACAAGGCTAGAGATGCTTTAGTGCAGATATCAAAAAAAAAGACCTAGTTATGACTCCTTTCATGACAAAGTTTTTAAAGTACATGTACTTTATGTGTGAGATTGGTCAGAGATTATGTCAGTGTGTCAACTGTGAGCTACAGTAATTACCGGTAGATATTTTTGTTTACCGTCCTTTTTGAGCCATCCTTTTCAATGTAAAGTGTAGTATTTCACAAATTATTATAGTTCCCCACCCATTTAGTATAGTAATGTTTCATGTGTACCCATGTAAGCAAATACAGATTATGGCAGTTGTGAAACATTCAGTGAACAATAGGTTATGAAGTTTGAATACCTGTGCTGGTTTGTCAAGAGTATCAAAAGAGCTCAAGTAACAGTGTCATGCTCCTGAAACCTTTCAATGAATGCAAAAGAATTTGTTAGAACTTTATTATCTCCCCTTACATTTGATGCTTTCAGAGAAGTTAAAAGAATTTCTGTATGTCTAAATTTGGTTTTTAAACAAATGTATCAGGGATAGGAGCCCCATTTTAAAACTTATAGGATTTTAAGAACAGTACAAGAGAACAATACACATCTTTTAATATTATTATAGTTACAAAAATAAAAGAGTAGTGCATTCCTTGTATCATTTGCATACAATTACCATTTCATCTGCTGTAAAATTAGTTGATAATAATTGGTTGTATTTTAGATTTAAATCAGAGAGGCCTCATTTATTAGAGTCCCATGCACCAGAATCTTCCCGAAAAGATGTGGCCCCCATGGTTCAACCTTATCTAGCAAGTCTTCATCAACAAAAAGGTAGAACTCTCTCTCTCTCTTTCTCTCTGAAAAAGGAATAAATTATGCAGTTGTACTAAAGAATTTAAAACTCTTAAAGGAAGGTTAGATATTGTTTTTCAGAATTGTAGGTTATCAGATTTTCTTGAAAGAACACATTTAGTGAAGTGTCTAGCAACTAGATGTCAACACATTTAGTCATATTTTGAATTATCACTAAGGTATACATTAGAAATGCAATCCTGAACTCAGTTTGTATGACCTACCAGATAACAGACTTTTTTCATTTAGAGATAACTTTGAATCTCCATTATCTTGTTTACCCCCCTGAATACCAAATTTGACTTTATAAGCATTATAGCGTGAATAGAAAATTAAAGCAAGATTTATTAGTTATTGGAGTTGGTGTTGGATTTCTATAATTTGAATGTGCATAAAAGGGGTAGGCTTACATCAGCACTCATTTTCCTAGTAATATGAATTAAAAAAAAAAAAACAATCTATAAATCTATGAGCTAAATGTACAGTTGACTCAATAAAGTATTATTTACCAATTTTTTAAGGTATTAAAATGCAAAAGAGAATAGAAAATTTTATTTATTTGGCATTACATTTATTTTAGCTTCAGAAGACTGTGATACTCATTCAGTGACTGCCCTGGCCTGTAAGAGCCTCAATCTATCCCAGGCCCTCCACGAGAAGTGTCTACACCTGGAATTGTCCTCAAGTGATGAGGAGGAGACACTTAGAAATCTTCAGGTAATACAGATGTGTTGGCTTATAAGTCTTCCTAACTTCATAATCAGTATTTAAGGATAAATGTATGTACATTGTATTGTGTTTTCTTTTTGATATAACATTATACAAAATTTAGTAAAGAAGTAGTAGTACCAAAGAATGTAGATGGTGAATTCTCAGCAGTAAAATAACAGGTAGAGATGGTCAGCATTCATTTCTTGAATTAAATTGTTTCATATTGATAAAGGCTTTGGTTGCCTTATTTATTGGCCTAACATAAGCCTCTCTGGCTGTATCCATTTGATCTATTGACTAAGAATTACTTTCATGTGACATTTGTCCCTATACACTTAATAGGTGAGTGTATTGGATTTTGTTGATGCTTTTTATTATCTTTACAGAATTCAGGATTCTTTCTGGACAAAGAAGGAAGCTGTAAGTAGTCCATTAACACTGGTTTTAGAGTCTTGGTGTTGAGGGTTACAGTAATACCTTGGGATGAATGTGCACATATCATGTCACCTAGAATTCACATTTTCAGACAGTCTACTTTCTCATAAAATTGTTGAACTACTAATGCCCCAGAATGAAAATGGAGGAATATCTGCCAAATACTTTTCATATTTCAGATTTTCTAAGAAAGTAAACCTAAACACATTTTGATCAAAATCTCGAGACTGATGTCTGATCCCTATTACAGTAACAAACTTACATCAAATGTAAAAATTTCCATGCTGTCATTGTTTATACTACCATTTGTTTGTATCCTTGCAATCCATTGTTCAAATTTATGTCACGTGTATTTTCAATGAAATTTGCTTTTTAGTCCAAGTATATTCCAATTAAAATTTACCCATGCATTACTGCATTAATTAAAACTAAAATTTGCTTATGCAGTGTAAAATGACAAAGAAGTTGTTAAAACCCTTTGGCCTTGAACTTGTTTGACCTTGACACCATTATCACATCACTGTATCCAGTTACTTTTTTTAAACTCACAGATTACCTTGATGAAAAACATGTTCATCCAAGGAAACTACCTCTCCATGAAAGGGTGGTGGAAGAAGGTAACCATGGTGATTCATGCTTCACTTAATCTTGCTCTCACTTTACTTTTCTCTACTAATATGGTCAAATGAAAAAAATTATTCCCATTCAACTTTATTAATACAGTGAAAGTGCTGATTGTTATGTACTTGCTGACATAAAATTAATTTATTTTATTGAATAAAGAAGTATATTGACATAATTGGTAGAAGATTTTTAGAGTAAATAATATATACATAATACCAGTGATGTATAATATATCTATTTGTATAAAATGCTACAGAAACACATTATTTATTATGGGAAAGGAAAATGTGATATGTTGAAAATTCTGTTTTTAAACTGAAACATATAAATCCATGTCATTTATGATTCATTATGATGAACCAATCTTTATCTTCAGTACAAAGAGAGAAGGCAGCCCAGGAGATAGTAGAGGCTGAGAGATCCTACTGCTCCCAGCTGTGGACTCTGATTGATGCTTACATGAACCCCCTCAGACAGGCAGAAATAATGACCCCAAGGGAATTATCTGCCCTTATCCCCTCCTACATCCCTCAGATGTATGAACAACATTGTCTACAACTGCATAAGATGGAAGAGAGACTGATGAAATGGAAGATTTCTGGCATGTTAGGGGACATCTTTGTCAAAATGTTGGAGAAGCAAGATGTAAGTGTTCCTTTGGAAAAAAAAAAAACAGCATATGGTCACTGAGAATAAATTGCCATAGCTAAATTTTAAAGCATTTTGTTTCTAAATGAAGAAAGAGATTTTACTAACATGAAAGGGACTTATTATTACTGGTAAACCCCTGCTTGAAAAGTGGGGGTATATAATGAGGAGGCATCAGTGTCTGTACATCTGTGTGTCTGTCCATCAGTCTGTTATGCTTGGGAGGACCCATATCTCTCATCTGCAACTCCTCCTATACCACTGGATAACATTGCCATTCTTTCTATAATATTGGGATTGCCCATCTCTTAACAGCAACTCCTCCTATATACCACTGAATAACATTTAATAATACTTTCCAAACAATCTTTATTACATAGTGCCATTATGCACTCCTATTTTAAGTTTTGATCTGACAGATATTTGGCTTTTCCATAGCAATTAAAGCACTGACCTTGCCATACACATATGGGAGCAGGGGGTATCATTTTGTGAGCTCACTGCTCACAGTAACTCTTAAGTTTCTGATACCTGGTATACATGTTACTTTGAAGTTGATTTTATTTAAATTGTGAACTTTATTTCTTTCTATATCTGGTCATTGTTATATTGTCCTATTTGTCATGTTCATGTTCATATCTATGTCTCTTTATAATTAATTAGTTGTACATTTTACTGTTGCAGGGAGAAGGATTGTCTTTGTACAAAGAATACATTAATGACTTTCCCTCAATCATCAACAACATGAATCAGTGGTTCTCACAATCACCCCACTTCAAATCTCTCATGGGGGTAAGTATATATTATATTACACACGTAAGACTTTTTTAAAGTTACACTAGGATGATAAAATGCTCTGTTGGCTCAGTGATTGTGATTTTCTTGAGCAATCATTAATGACTTGAGACTTAATGCAAACTTTGTTTTAAATTTTCAGAGTTCAAATTTAGCATCTTCAAATGTCATACCACTACTGCTGGAACCTTTACAACAAATACCAAAATACTCACTATTACTGAAGGTAATTTTTCCAAATTTTTTCATTACACCTGAGTCACATAAGAAGTAAATATTCATAAACCACTTTTTCTGGGATTTATTGATCATTTGCAACATTTTCTCTGAAACTGGCATGGGATAAGCATGCTAGTATCAACTTTTTCATATTTCTTAACATAATTGTCATACCATATTTAATAGCTTTAGCAATAAACCAATTAAAAGCAATCCCTTATATTAAAGAAGCGATCGTGGCTGATATAGAAAAAAGTCCGAGTCAAAATAACATTCTCTTGGTGAAAAAATGTATTCAACTTGGATCAATGGATCATGATGAAAACTACATCATGTACTGTGATTAACTAATATATTAATTGTAATTTAATCCCTTGTAGAACCTGTTAAAGCACACAGCAGTGGATCATCCAGACAGACAGTATTTAGAGGCTGCCCTGTACAGCCTTAAAAGTTTCCTCTACATCATGAATAATGACATAGAGCATGCCTCCCAGTTCCTGAATGTTTCCAGGTATAATCCTTAAATTCATGGTTATAATATAAGAATTATACCCCATTACCCTATTTCCTAACATTTTGGCAATTTTACAAATTGCAGCAAAATTTTTGCACAGTTGCAAAATTGCAGTATAGTCATTATTGAATGCCATAGTAGATTTTCTGCATTTTGTGTTCATTTTATAATTATGACTCTGAACTGAAATACATGTATGACTTTCACATTAATTTTTTCTCTGTCAGGTCTCGAGAGAGTGGAAATTCGATGCGTTCTCGTTCAAGTGGGAGCAGCGCTGAAGCTAATCAGGTGTCCAGTGCGAGGGACAGCGGGATTCAGGAGGATGAGACTCGTCATCCAGCCTCACCTAACACTACTAGGAGGTATTGTATAGATTCCTTATCAAATACTCAAACATCCTTAATACTAATACTTTTGTTCAACTGTAAAATATGCTAATAATATTGTTATACATGTATTCTGAAAAAAATTCCTCTACATCTGTTGCTTTTCATTTGTCAGAGAGGAAATACATTCATTGCTTTTCATGTCTTTACAGTATCTAATGTAAATAATGTAATGTAAATACATGTAATATAATGTATACAGTATTATCTATACATGATTACAGATATGTCCTTCAAGTGTTGAGGGAGAGAAGAGAGAGGGAGGAGCAGGGGTATAGAGACCGCCCAGTGTCTGTCCCTTCTCACTCTCATCATACTTTCGGAAGTCATCCTGATTTATCCTCACAGGAATATGTTGATTTCATGAATACAAGCAAAGAGAGCAGTGTCTACTTGCCTTATCAATCAGGACACAAGATGTATTCTTCTCTTTCAAAAATACAAGCCAAAGTGCCAGAAATTCGTAGTCCTGAAAAACCTCCAAGGAGAATTAAAATTAGAAGGCGACCTGATAATCCAAAGAGTGCAATAAGTTCAAACTATCTTCGCCCACTCACTCCACATTTCCCATTTTCAAGCACTCCAAGTCGGACAGCCTTTGATGAACAGGAGAATCTAAGACCTCCTCCATCAACCAGAAGAGGTAGGACCAGACCAGCAAGTTCCATTGATTTCACAAACAGGGGAAGTGAAAGACGAGACCAGATGTTAGAGGACTGGTCATTTCAAGGGACAAGTCTCAACTCCCCTAGAGATCATCCAGGGGAGGGCAGGGCAAGGAATGAGCTTCATCTGTCTCTTCAGAGACTGCTGGCAGAGAGGGACAGGGATAGTAGTCATAGAGAAGAAAATGATCAGTATTTCCAACCCCTCAGTATGTCTTCAGAATCTGGAAGACCTGCTGAGGACAGATTTGCCACTTCCTCATACAATGGTGTTCAGTCAAGTAGACCTGCCTTTCAGCAGAAGATTGTTGAAGACTATGGTATCTATGGTGATGAAGATGATGAGGAAGAATATGATAAAGACAGGAATGTATCAGGTTCTTTTCATTCTCATAATAGTCCAGTAAAGGAACAGCATGAAAATCCGTATGAAAACTATCATCAGAGAAGAGTTTTACCAGAGGTCAAGAATGTGACCTCTGAGATTCCTCAGGGGCGCAGAGAAAAACCTCTTCCTAGTCCAAGGAGAAATGAATCTCAAAAATCTCGATTGTCAGACACATCCTCAAAATTATCAGTGGAAAGAAAAAATTCAAGTGAAGCTGCTGGCAGCAAGCAGCTGAAGCCTGAACACTTAGTACCAGCCCCATCTGATAATTCAACTGGTGTTTTAAATAAGAAAAGGGACATGCAGCTGTTTGAAATTGATGCTAATGATTACATGGACAATAAAAGGAACTCTTATGTGCAGGCTGAAAAACCTTCAGAAGAGGACCATTCATTTAAGGGAGATTGTATGAAAGCCTCTGCTGATATTAACAAGAATGGACTGAAGCTCGATGTGAAAGCTACAGAAAATCTATCTATGAGGCCCAACCATCAAAATGCTGAATCCACCGGCCATCCTTCTTCAGATCCTTTAACCCCAAGTAGTTCTGTACCAAAGAATTCCAACAAAACTTCGAAAAAGTTGCCTGTCCCTAGTGGTCGTTTAAGTTATCCAAATTTAGACCAGATGCCCTCGGCTTCCAAGATTCCATCACCTCCTATCACCCCTACAGATGGAAAGAACCTGAAAGCTCTGGCTAAAGACACCAAAATCCCCATGTATATGCCCAAAAGAAAGGATAAAGGTGGCAAGGGATCTAATGAAAACATCTCCAAATCCACAGAGGATGTGTCCAAAGTGAAGAAAAAGACCAAGTTTGGTTCCATCAAGAGCTTTTTTGGAAGAAAAAGGTTGGTAATTTTACAAACATCTCTCAATCTAACATTATCATAATGCATTAATGCCAGTTTTAATTTTCCTTCATTGCCTCATTTTTCTGTTTTTTGTATCTATAGACACAGAATTTAGCCAGATAAGGTACATGTACCAATATCTGACATTTCAAACTATCTTTTAAGGATGACCGTTAGTTTTTCAATACCACAACTTGATCAGCTGTAAGGTAATACCGGTAAATCAAATTTCAAAGGCATGCAGCAAAGGTATATAAGGAAATTGCTGGTTAAAAAGTTGGTCATAAATGGTTCCTTGTTATTCCCAAAAGCAGAAAATTAAAGTGCTTTGCATGTCCCTTTAAAAATATTTTTCTTCTATGAATCAGTTTTATAATACTGATTAAAAGGAGAAAAAAGTAACATGGATTATTACTGAAATTGCTTTTATCAATGTTCTCTGCATATCAAAGACTATTCCCTTTTGTTATAGACTGAAAAAGAAATAAGGACTGTTGATATATATTATACATGTATTTTTTTTTTTACACTTTGCTTACTATAGTTAAATTTGGTGAAGCTTCTTTGGTAGGGGGCATTTTTATAATTCTGTTGGTTGTTTAAATGGGAACATAACGGTACAAATTTTTTGTTGCTTGTTCAGGCCAGGCATTGACGACTTGGAAACTGTGGATGTAGTAGTATGTATTTAGATTGTTGAAAATTACTGCACAATATTTTCTGCCTATTGCATGGATTTTTTTTTTAATCTTCACACTTTTTTGTAGTGAAAGCTGATTTACATTTAGAATTTATTAGAATGTAGAAAATGTGCTAATTTTGAGTTCACTCTACTGCCACACAATGCTAATTCTTTTGAACACTGAACAGATGAAATTCCTTGTTACTACTCTATATTTGATTGAAAATGATAGGTACATGTATGTGTGTGTTTAATCTATGCCACATCCCCATTACAATAAAGACATAATGAAAATATGCAGAAAAGATATTTAAGGATGCTGTGAAATATGTTTATTGTAAAAAATACAGTGTAGGAAATACAAGCTAAACACCTTAATATTTGGTCAAAATTGTGAAGTATAAAAAATAGTTGTGGGTACTATGAAGCAAGTATAACTTTTGTAAATATTAAGCTTTGTGTTTTGACTGGAAAATATACAGCTGACAATTTCAATGGAGATCCATTTTTAAAAAAAAAAATAAAAAAAAAAAAAAAAAAATTGTAAAGCCTTGGTAATTGTAGCAATTCTAGAAATAGTTCTTCTTTTATAATTTTTAATATATAAATTTTATTAATAAGCTGTTATAACATGTATTAATGCCCTGTTCTCACGGAGAGTTTAATTCGAATTAAACGTAAGTTACTGCGAATTAAATTTGAACCGCGTTCACACGGAGAATTTAATGCGAATTAGTTTAATTCGAATTAATTTACTGCGCATTAAATTACTTCGCATTAGCTCCGTGTGAACGCTAAGCGAAGTTAATTCAAATTAAATTTTGACGCATGCGTAAGGGCAGAATTAAGTCACAGGCCACATGTCGATGGTCAGATATAGGTACTTGTGCTACTTTTGAGTGGAAAACAAAGGAAAATTATGATAATCACTAAAATGTGTACAGACACTATGACATTATGTCAAATCAGTGGTCAAATGTATCTGCTCGGCACAATGTGACGTGATTCGCAAAATGATGTCATAATAGCCTTACTGAATAGCCTTACTGTAGAAATAAAAATTTAATTCGCATTAGTTTACTTCGAATTAGCTGTCGTGTGAACGCAATTTAATTCGCATTAGTTTAATTCGCATTAGTTTACTTCGCATTAATTTACTGCGAATTAAACTCTCCATGTGAACAGGGCAATAAGTATATAATCCTTTTTCCAAAATGACTCAGAAACCTATGAAATGCCAATAAGTAGTTTTTAATTAGAGTCGGAGGTAGGCATTCAATATTATATGCCAGGTATATCATACAAAATGTTTAATAAAAAGCTTATCACTCTAATGACAGCTTTATATTTTCATCTTTTCAAACAAGTCATGAAATTGATTCATTTTGATCTATTTGCAATTCTTGAATTGTCATTTTGATTGATTTAAATGGTGATTTGAATACACAGCAGCTAAACACCATAGCTTAAACTTGTGACATATTGTGCTTTCTTATTTTCTAAAGTTTTGTACTTGAGCTGTAGAGAATGGCAAGTATAGAGCAGATAATTCTTAGTTATCTCCCCTTGCTACTGGCTTATTTATTGTGCTTGCATGACATGTAACTGCCTCTTGAATGGTTATACAGTTATTAAAACTCAACATAATTATGGTATTGATGTGTACATATACATCTGTATGTTAAATATATCTGTGTTTTATAGAATTATTGACTGTCAGAGTGTCTAATGAGTTTACAATGCACACCATATTGAATGCTGCAGACAGCTATTAAATATTGTGTAAAATGCATATTGACAACTGGTACAGTGATTATTTATGTGCCTCATTAAAACTTAATAAACTTCAAAAAGCTTGTGAACTGCCAAAGAACTGCTTTAGAGGTTTAAAGAAAGTAAATTTCATTTTAATATCTGCTTAAACTTGTATTAAAAAATTATTTAAACCTTGCAAATTACTAACATCATATGTTTTTTGTTTATCTATACTGTAATTATCATATACACATTTAAATATTACAGATAATAATGGGAATATCATGATGAAAACAATAATCATAGCATGCCAATTTTAACAGAAATGTTTGAACTGGTCATTTTTGACCAGCTTTTGAATAAATTGAATTAGCATGATAATAAACAGTATTTAAACTCCTCATTATCCACTATATTCTGATAATACAAAGATAGCCATACTTGTTTTTCATAGCTATGCTTATCATATTTATATAATGATTCTGGGTCCTTTTTTTTTAGGAAAATATTTAAAGAATTTTCGTCAGCCCAGGATCTCCGGGGAACAGAAAATTTCGAGGACCATAATAAAAGTGACACCCTGTCCATTGAGTGCTGGGTAGAGGATGATATTGGAATTCATAATGAAAATTTACATTGATTGGTATTTTAAAAAGTGTATGAATTTCACAGGAAAGAGTATAAGTGGTCACATTTATCTTTCTCTTCTTAAGATTAAGAAGTATAGATGAAATATAAATGTTATAATACATGTACAAACATTTAAAGTGCTACAGAAACGTTCATAGTACTCGTACTCGGAGAAATATGATGTCATCATACAAATCATTGATCATTTTCATCAACTAAAGATACAACTGAGAAAGAAGCCAGTTACCCATGTGCTACCACAGGTACTTGTGGACAGGAACCCCCCCCCCTCCCCAATATACCCCACGGGTCAAAAATATTTTTATGTATTTTTTTCATAAATTATTCTTCTAGTACATATTTACAATGTATTCCATAAGAAAAATCCAAAAAATAACGCAGAATTAACGTTTGAATAAAAAATCATACCTGCGGTATTATAAAATACCGCGGGTATGATTTTTTATTTCCTGTGTGTGCTACATATGAAATATCTTCAATGACACATTTCAAACGTCACTGAATTACTTTTTCAGTGATAGTTGGTGTTATAAGTTATATATAATCTCAAGTAACTGCCAGCTATTTTATCAGTAATTACTCAGACATTTTAAAAGATTCACTCAAGTCAACAAATTGAGATATGTTATTTGTTCTTTTCTCTGACAAAATTGTAACACACCATTCGTACTCAAATACTCAATGAAATAGTTTCTGTGACCCTGAGAAAAGAAAGCATCTGATATTGCACATGTATTTATTATGCAATCAAATGAAAGCTGACATAAACATATAAATGAGGATGTGTAAATAAATGGAAGCTTTAATACAAAGTACATGTACCTTTGTTACATGATTGTACATACATTTTTCCCCCAAGTCAACAGTGATAAAATTCACCGTGATTGATGGTCTTCCAGATACACAAACAACTGTATAGTGCACTTTGTCAGCTGTGCATTTTTTACTGTCATTGTAAAATTATGATATGAATTGAGATATTTGATTTTTTATATTTATTGAATAAAAATGGTTTTCTAAATTTGATTTGAGTTATTATTTACAAGAAGTTTAACATGTATATCTGAAAAATTTGTAGACTGGACCTGTATTTTCACCCTACACATTGATAAAATATTAGCAAAAATCTTGCGTTATTTATCAAATTTACCCGTGATATAAAATTTTTCTTTAAAAAAGAATGAAACAAGATGTGTTTGTGAAACACTGATGCCCCCGTATGGCAGCTTATAGCGAAGGTTAAAGTTTCTCAAATGCAATTCAAAATCCAGGCCAAAAGATAAAAAATGTTAAATTTGAAAGCCCTAGCTGCAACTGTTCAAAAGTTATGGCAAAGGTTAAAGTTTTTTAAAAGTAAGTAAAACATCAAGGTCAAGGTCAAAGTTGTTGGTATCCAAAGGAAGGTCTTGTCACAAGGATTACATATGTAAAGTATGAAAGCCCTAGCACCAACCATTCAAAAGTTATGGCCAAGGTTAAAGTTTTTCGAAAGTAGGTCAAACTCCTATGTCAAGGTCAAATGGTCAAAGTGGTTGGTATCCAAAGGAAAGTGATGTCACAAGGATTACATATGTGAAGTATGAAAGCCCTAGCACCTACCATTCAAAAATTATGGCCAAGGTTAAAGTTTTTCAAAAGTAGGTCAAACTCCTATGTCAAGGTCAAAAGGTCAAATTGGTTGGTATTCAAAGGAAGGTGATGTCACAAGGATTACATATGTGAAGTATGAAAGCTCTAGCATCAACCGTTCAAAAGTTATGGCCAAGGTTAAAGTTTTTCAAAATTAGGTCAAACTCCTAGGTCAAGGTCAAAAGGTCAAAGTGGTTGGTATCCAAAGGAAGGTCTTGTCACAAGGATTACATATGTGAAGTATGAAAGCCCTAGCACTAACCGTTCAAAAGTTAAGGCCAAGGTTAAAGTTTTTCAAAAGTAGGTCAAACTCCAAGGTCAAGGTCAAAAGGTCAAAGTTGTTGGTATCCAAAGGAAGGCCTTGTCACAAAGAATACAGATGTGAAGTTTGAAACCCCAAGCACCAACTGTTCAGAAGTTATGGCCAAGGTTAAAGTCTCATAAAATTTTGCAAAAGTGGGTCAAACTCCAAGATCAAGGTCAAATATGATGGTACCCAAAGAAAGGTCTTGTCACAAGGTTTACACATGTGAAACATGAAAGTCATAGCTCCAACCAATCAAAAGTTATAGGCAAGGTTAAAGTTGACAACAGACAAACAGGCAAACAGGACAAAAACAATATACCCCCGGGATCTTTCGATCCAGGGGCATAAAAATACACAACTATGATGTAGTTGAGAGATAAAATATCAATGGATTTCTAAAATTTACATTTGACAAAAAATACATACTGTAAACCAACCATTATTCGTGTCATCTTTTATTCGCAGTTCGGCAGTTTAAAATCAATCCGCAACAATTCATTTTTGCAATCTAGGAAACATTTTCTACAAATATACAGAAAAATAAATGGTTTGCGGTGATAAATATTCCTGAGTTAAAGAAGGTCATGAAACTCTCCGATATTTATCGCACGCGAAAAATAGTTGGTTTACAGTAGTTTGTACAGACTGTTTTGTTCAACTACAAATGGTGAAACGCTTAGGCAAAGAAAAAGGATTTTCTGACCATAATGATTGAAGCATTCACACTTTTGGAAACTCTATTACTAGAAGATGAAGAAACAGAAATTGAAGACAACTGAAGCTATGTTACTATTCATAAAAATGATTTAAGGAGGTTCAATCCCAAGCTTTTGAGCAGATTTTGTCTGAACCATTCTGCCTCATATTTAAGTTCTTAAAATGAATTTGGATTCTACAATGCCAATTAAACTATATTCAATTAAAAACCCACGATTAAATTCTATACAAGAAGTGAAGGGAGGAACTATTATTTTATGGTGGAAGGTATTTTAGAAGAAAATAATCAATTTTTCTCTTTCAAAATATTTACAGTAAAGTTCATCTTCACTAGCCAAGGGTTTCTAATCCACAACTCTCCTTTGTGAGAAGAGTAGCAGAACAGAAACCCTTGGCTAGGGAAGATGTGTTAAGTTCGGATTCTTAATTTTCCATGCAGGATATTTAATGCAGTGAAACGTTTTATGCTGGTCCCATTATATATTAACCATTATGAATTCTATCATCATATTGTGACAAATACAGCTAACATACTGTGAAAGTCCAGGGGGAAAAAAAACAATTTTAGCTTAAAATTTCTTTTCTGAGTATATAACTTTGACCAGTCTGCTTATTGTGTTCTATTCAAGATAGAATAAGACTGTGTTTGGTCCAATGATTATTTGGGAAAAAAAATATTGGAGAGAAAAGTGATTTATGTGTAAGATGGAATTACAGTGCAAAAAAGGTCATAATAAATTAACTGTAGCATCAAACGAAGTGTATTCACCCCCATATTTGTTTTGATTTTTAATTAAGCTACGTGTATAGATACTAAAAATATATTTGACAAAAATTTTTTAAGACTTTTGATAGCAGGATCGAACCTCCTTATAAAGTTTGCAAGTTACTGCAACACATAAAAATCTTTGTGTCTGGTTTTCATTTTCCATTGTTTTCTTCCAATCCATTACAAAGTTATGGCCCAAACAAAGAGTAGGACAGACAGACAGATGAAATAAAAAGGTAATGCCCAAATATCCTTGGTACTTTGCAGAGGGTATAAAAATTTGACATTGCAGAATTCTGATTTCCCTTGATTTGGTGTAAAAAAAATTTCTAAAGTTTATTTATCCAGAATGTGAATAATTATGATTATCATAAGAAGTGCAAATGCATGTAATGTTTCACAATAAGTTTGATGAATAATCAGCTTAAAACATGAAAACTTTTGTTTAAAAAAAATAATCATGAACAAAGAAAAAAATGCAACTTTTTGATAGATTTTCAACACAAATAAAAAAAGAGTGACATCCATAATATATTGGGCTAACTTGTAGAAAAGGTTCTGAACTACATGTGAGATTTCTGCAGGAATTGTCAACTATAAGAATAACCTGACTACAGTCAATATGACCCTAGAAGATGTAAGCAAACAAATATATGCTATAAGTGAAAATGTCTCAAACAAATATATTTGGAATCTGTTTGAACAATCCAAACTTCTTGAGTAGATACTGGAAAGCCATTGAACTGGCGAGTAAAACATGACAGTGCGAATACACAATTACAATATATTGCAACTTCTTTCTAAATACATCAAACAACAAGTATAGCAAAATGAAAAGATGTACAGATTGATTAGAATTGATATACACATTACCAATATTTTTTGGGTCCACAATACTATAAATGCTTGAAATAAATGCCAGTAATATCAACAATATACCCTCAGCAATTGCTTTAAAGGGTACAGGTGTTGTTACTTATAATAATTATTTAAGCTATAAAAACTTCTTGAGTCATACTTTATCATCTCTGTTTGAACATGCCAAACTTCTTGAGTTGATAGCGGAAAGTCTTTGAATTGGCGAGTCCAACAATGATTAAGATGAGTGCATACACAATCATCATTAGCAAAAACTTGTGTCTGAAGCACCAGGACCTGATAGCAGATGTTGATCCCCTAAAAGAAAACATGCATCATTCTATTCCTTAGAAAGTCCTGAAATTTTTCTTACTGTTTCAAGTGAAAGTTGATTCCAAAATTACAGCACAAGAGTTGATTCCTTCACAATGAACATGGTTTTAACTGATGTAGAATTTACAGTACTCAAGTAAAATAAAACTTTACCTTTGAGAGACAGACTTTTGGCAGTAAACCAGGAGGTATTTCACTCGGATCACTTCATTGTTTTGTACCACATAGTATTTGTCTGGAACTTGTCCTGCCATGCTATCGCCAGCATGAGATCTGTTGTTATCTACAAAAAATACATTTTCTTTTGAACCATGAGACTTGCCTCATCGCAGTAAATTTTCCTTTCCAGACTGCAAAGTGACATATGTTTTAGGCTTTATTTTTTCTTCATCTGTAAACATGAGTTTCAGAACTTATGAGAATGCAATTTTTAGCACAAGTCTCTTATACAGAAAAGGCCAAGAATTTAACTATCCATGGAAAACTATTTCACAACCTCAATCATTTCTCTTAAGCTGTGTTACCATGCTTAAAAAGGCAGCATCACCACATTTGTTGTTACATGTGGTTTTAGCAGTCCTTGACCTTTCAGTACTTACTGTCCTTGACCTGACATTTTACAGATGGATGATCAATCATTTCACAGACGGCCACACAGCTGAGTTTGTCACCTAGGCTGCTTCTCTCCCAGCTTCTCCCCATGGGGCTGTAATGCAGGGACACAGAGAGTTCACTGGAGAGGTAGGTCCCCTCCCCAAACACACCAACCTAAGAGAAGCATTCAGATGTTTATTTAAATGAAAGAACATACATAAACTCAAATTCTATGCACTGGCAAAATTTTGCATATAAATTGTACTTACGAAAATTTCTTTTAAATTGTAAAAATTTAAGTAGTAAGTAAAGTTTATCTATATTTGATTCAATTTGGTATCCCATTCTCCAGCCACAGTCTGGAGACTGATCATAGCTCTCTCCTACCCATGGCTGCTTGATCAAATAAAGTCTCATAATCTTGAATAATCATGTCTTATGTGTGATGTCATGTTATAAACCAATGAAAAGAATTGGCTAATGAAAGGTCAAATCAAAGATTATTTTCCAACTATGCTTTACTCACATTGGTTAAAATTTTAATGAGCTACAAAACATTCTTGTCTCTTCAACAACAGCCAGAATGGGAGAGGATTGTACATTTTGGCCTTGGTTTGTGATGATGATTTGGTACAGGCCCATAGGAAGCAATTTCACTTTGAGGGGGCACAACCATACATTTTCAATTGGGGGGCACTATCAACTACCAAAATTCCTTGACAAGCAAACAAGCATAAAAAAAAAAAAGGTCATCAGATGTTATTATTATTATTGAGGGGGCACAAGCATACAGTAGCTTTGTTTTCTATAGTATTCTATATATCGGCAAAATTATCGGGGGGGGGGGGGGGGGGGCATGTGGTACATACATAAATATTCAGAATTTCTCTAACTATCCCACTTCTAGCTTAATTTTTCTGCTTTATACAACTAAAATACACTGTTATGCCACATTAATCAATTCTACACTTTTTAAAATTTTTATGCTTAAAAGTTGCATTATTTTTAGTTCAGTAAATTATTACCTATTGCACTTTAAGAGAACTATAAGATCCTGATATATTAATCATACTTTACTGATCTTTTCATTTTAATGTTAAGCTGTTATGATGGCTACTAAACACCTGACATGCCAAAGAAGCAGATGAAAAGGAGTACATAATAGTCTAAATGATTTTAAATGATACTGTACAAGAATTTGAAGAATTACGCTTTTGCCTCTGAAATTCCACCAAAACAAGGCTTTAATTTCACCTCTGCAATAAAAAGGGTAGGCAGTCTGCTATCCATATTGCAGTAATACTGAAGACGAATTTGTTCACTTCATTGATTACAATGTTTAGGAAACTGAAATAACATGCAGCCTTTTCATTGCAATCCATAGGTCCTAATTCAGTCCACTACAAATGGGAGCAGTTTAAAGCACATGTGTAGCGTGCAATGATGGATGAAGCATTACCTTATTCATATGAGAGGCTAATCCATGGTGCAATATAGAGTGGAAGTTCTCCAGTCGACTACCATGATATGCAAATAAGAGTTCTCTCCCTTTCCTGACATCCTGAAATTTAGCATCAGCAGCTTGTGAGTAGGTCACCTCAAAGATAAAGTTTGGTTTCACAGCTGACACACCGCTGTCTTTGGTGAGTGCTTGGATTTCTTCAAACTGTTGAAAAAATACACCAATGACAAGTGATTATCAATGATCATAGTTATCTTTTAAATGAGCAAATTTAGCTATTCATTTAGGGTTTAGATAACATAAATGTATGCATCATGTCTTCATCACATATCTTCAATTGTTATTTACACTGAAGCTAGATACCAGGAAATATACTTGATGCATCATCTGAACTTGAATACACAATGATTGCTTTTGTAAATTTTTCAAAAAAAAGTAACAGGAGGGATATAACTTTTTATATTCATTAATTTATTTTATAACTCTCAAATTCTGACATAAAATTACTTTTTTAATACATGTAGCTACCTTTGACAATGCTGTTTTCACTATAGAGAAGTTTTTGGTATCTGTCACCCATGTCAGTAAGTCTTGTATCTCACCATTACTGGATTCCAGCTGACTTAATTTTGGTACCTTATCAACCACTCTCTCCTGTAATGACATGAAAGATTTCACTGTGATTTAGTTGGGTTTAGGTCTGATACTGTAAGTGCTGATTTAACTGGGTAGAATACTATTTAAGTCTAACTCAATTCAACGATGAAGAAATAAATTATGACACTAACTAAGGCTTAACAATTTATGGTACTTATGTATATTTTACGACATACAAACCATAAAATATGTCAATTTTGGCAAAAGTCTTATTTTACAACATTTCTGTACGCCATTAACCGTATGATACAACAATTCATTCTTACACATGTATGACTACAGTTCCAATATGCCATATATCCCCAGCACCCAAACTCTGCCACCATAAGTGGAAAATATACCACATTACTCTCTTAATTATTTTTTTGATTTGTTTTTGTTTGCTACACTTAGTAATGAACTTAAACATTGTTTTTAATATAATAAACAAAGAAGAGCAGCTATTAGTCTTGTAAAACACCATTTTAGTTTTTTGTTCCTTTTTCTTAAACTTGTAAACATAAAAAAAAAAATTAAGATTTAAAATAGTTTTAAATTGTACTTTAAGAAAAGTATCACCAATAGAAGTAATGTTAGTATAACATATCTTACATGTATTAAATGAATGTCATGCTAAAACGAAAAAAAAAATTTTTTAGTCATATTCAACATGGTATGTCATGTTAAATCTTAGTATGACACAGACCTTCACAAAAATGGCTGACAATTTGTTACAAAATGAGTATGTTGACTCATATGTTGGAGATGTATTGATGTAATAGTGCATAATGAAAAAGGTGCTTAATAATGATTTTACGTAATATATGCTAGATATAATAGATTATGTAAAATTGATGTATGTTTTTTGATGCATTATTGAATTTGACTGTTATAACTTTTCGATATTTGATTGTAGATTTTCAGGATGTAAAAAATGACCATAATCGCATTGAATTTCATTTACCAATAGAACAGAGTTTCCGAAAGTGACAAAGTTAGGATAACGACAGAGTTAGGTGGTTAGGCTATATGTAAATGGCATAATTATGATACATGTTAAACAACTCACAAGTTTTTTCATATCTTTCTCTCCATTCTCCTTTAAAAACTGTGGTGGAAAAGGCTTCAATACAGTGTCAAATCTGTAACTGTATAATGCTGAGACAAAAAAGCTCCATCTTAAATCAGTTGCCAGGAAATTTTCTGAGAGTCTCCTCTTCAGGACTTCAGTGTCAACAGTTGTCTGATCTGTCCCCATTATCAGTGTACTGGAACAGCTTTCTAAGCACTAGTCTACATTTCTAAAGAAACATGTATATGATACATAAAATCACTGTTATTTTAGTTTAAGCACAAACCACAGGGGCTTGCTCCCGGTGTGTAATAATTATTTATTTTTAAAAAATCATATACGGTAATACTAAAACATTTTTAGTATTACCGTATATGATTTTTTTAAATGAATAATTATTACACACCGGGAGCAAGCCCCTGTGCACAAACACAGATCAGGTACTTTAAGCGCAATGATTAATAAATTAGTGCTATATTATATCAGGGACCTATATACTAGTTTATAGGTCTCTGATTATATTATGATCATCAGTTTTACTATCTGTATAAATTCTATTGACAGTGATTGACATTAGATTGCATACTTCTTGTGCAAACATGATGTTATAGTATTTCCACTCTCACAAATTTAATGGCTCAAAGTAGAAAAACTGCATTTATTTTCACTGTATATAGTTTATTAAATAGCCCTTAGCAACATTTTTTAAGGTTTGTATGATTGATAAATAAAGAAAATATATATATTTTTTTCCAATTATTTTACTTAACAATATTTTTCATTACATCTATTGAAAAGCATTCTTCAGACGATATTTTTCTATTGGGTAACGTTATGAATTTAAATCAATTATAAGTGGGGTTTTTTTTGTTTTTTTGTTTGTTGTTTTTTTTTTGCAAAAACCTATGACATCACAGGAGGATGGAAATACCTTGAATTCCTGTGCGTTACGCTTAATATCAATTTCGATTAAGGATATACCTCTGCATTCCTTGTTGTCTTGTCATCTTATGTATCCTTATAAACAGATAAAAGGCTCATTCTTTCAATCAGTGTAATTTGAGGAAATTCGAAATGCAATACTATTTTACTTAGTAAGTTGTACTATATATTATTCGCTATGGAATATAATCATTATCAGTATCGTGATTATGGGAAGTTTATATGCAAATATTCTTTGTCCTTTGATGTTCTGAGGAGAGACGGGGAAAGGGGGTTAAAGTAATAAAGATAAGTAAGGACCGGATCTTAATTTTCAAGTTTTTTTCTCCTACATTTAGACTCTGAATTTTCATTTCCGGTTATGAAAAAATGGCATTTGCAAAAAGACCACATGGTCCTAATCTTTTGATAACAGGTAACCTAAAATTACTAATTATTTTTATGGTTTTATACATTTTAACTTAATTTATTGAAAGTGCCAATTACTCATATCCAGACATTTTCTTCCGTTTTTGTTGACTAATGGGTTCTGTGGACAACATACGGTTGTGTATCTAATGTCCTATAGTATAGTACATGTATCTTTGTAGGTACTGAAAAGTAGCTCAGTATTAGTTCTGGTGGTAAACTGGGACAGTGAGTCGATGCGGATGTCTATTAGACTGTGTATTGTCTTATATAGAAGTATGAGGCATTGGTTTCTTTTTCGGTCTATTAGTGGTTGCCACTTGGTTACCACTAGTCCAAAATATCTGACGTTTTCCAGGCTTTTTTCACGATTTTGATATTTTACGTGCCAGGAAAATGTCAGAACCGGCGCCATTACGAAAACTGGAAATTCGCCGCCTCCAACTGGAGGCGGCATTCTCGGGTTGATATTCGATACCTGCGAACCGAATTAAATGCTGAATTCACAACTTATCAATAGAACAATGCCTTTATTACTCATCAACATCGTTTTTATGGTTAGTTTATAAAATATAAAGTCCGATGAAAACATTTTATCGGACCCTCGAGTTTTTTTTCAATTCGTGCATTTTAAAATCTTGCAAGACCTGTATCGAAATGTAGAGTGATATTTTCTTTTCATCAATATTGGTGAGTATTAGAAGCATTTTGTTATTCATAAATTGTAAGTTCAGCATTTAATTCAGTTCGCAAGTATCGAAAATCAGCTCCAGTCGGAGACGGTGAAATTTCCAGTTTTCGTAATGGCACCGGTTCTGACATTTTCCCTGGCACGTAAAATATCAAAATCGTGAAAAAAGCCTGGAAAACGTCGGATATTTCGGACTAGGTTACCACTTGAGGTCTATTCTCCTTAGAGAATACTTGAGTTTGAAGTATTTTTGCTATTCTGCTATTTTTGAAGTAGTTTTAACAACTGAATCCAGCGGCACATTTGTTGTATGGCTTCTAGTTGGTCAATCATAATCCTTTGCTCGGTATACCACTCCTAAATATTCCAGTATGGAGTGAACTAATGCGTTAAAGGCTATAACTTTAATTTTAGCTCAAGTGAGTTTTTCTGCTAAAAATGTGTCAGGCCTCCGTCTGTCTGTCTGTCGTGTGTTCTCTGTAAACTTTTCACATTTTCGACTTCTCCAGAACCACTGGGCCATTTTTAATCAAACTTGCCAAAAAGCATCCTTGCATGAAGGGAATTCAAATTGTTCACAGGAAGTGCCACACCCTCTCTCAAGGGGAGATAATTAAGAATTTGTAAAAATTTGGTGGCATCTTTTAAAAATCTTCTTCTCAAGAACCACTGGGCCAGAAAAAATGAAATTTATGTGAGAGCTTCATTACATACTGTAGATTCAAATTAGTTCATATCATAACCCCCGAGGGTAGGGGGGGCCACAACAGGGGATCAAAGTTTTACTTAGGAATATATAGGAAATATCTAAAAAAAAAAAAAAAAATCTTCTTCTTAAGAACAGCAAAGCCATAATTAGTGATATTTACGAGAGGTTATCAAAAAGTTCGTGGACTGATTCGATAAAATTAATACTATGTAGTCGTTGATTACAAAATTTATAGGGAACACAAAACAACAAAATTTGAAGTAGTGTTGAAAAATTCAGCTTGATATGTTGACTATTTCCCAAATTATCATTAAATAAAAAGGGAATTATATGATCACCTGGCGTTGTCTCCGTTTAGTTTCATGATGTCTGACAACGTCATTAATTCTCAATGCACGCTCCTTCTGCCTCAGTACACTTATCTTTATGAGATTCTCTGGAGTAAAGTAAAGACCTAAATCCGTCAAGTTTATATGACTTTACAATGTCATGAACTCTTGATTTCAATGCATTAATATTGCAAATATTAAGTCAATACATAGGAAAAGATCCTCTCTTGATTTTGCCACATAATTTTCTTGTCGGAGTTCAATGTCAACCAATGATTAACGTTATTTTTCGACGTGACTGACTTTGGACACCCTGACTACAAATCGATAAACCGTGTGTTTCTTTTCTTGCTGAATCTCTTTTGGTACTTAAAAACAAGTACTTTAAAATTGGATGAATTTTATTTTCTGTAGCCTGTTTAAACATTTTCTAAGGCTATGCCAGGTTTTCCAGGGGCTGAAACCTTATAGAATGTTGTAAAATGATACCCTACCCCCTTTCGACGTTATTTTTAACCCCCTTTTTGTTTGGATATTCAAAATAAAATTTACTATAAAATGTCATTGAATGTACAGAATGAGGTAAAACTTGCAACTTTTACGATAAAATTGTGTCATATCACTTGAGTGAAATAATGGGATTTTCGGATGCCAAATGCTCATATAAGATAGAGTTTTTCTCAGTTACACTCAGGTATAAAATATGTTCTTTTCGAGGTTGCGCCGCCTGGACAAACCATTGCTTACAAAAACATTTACGATTCACTAAAAGATAAAACCTATGATTTATAGTTTATTTTATAGTAAGAAAAGATGATGCTTATTAATTGTTTAAAAATTCATTGATGTACATATAGCGGTTTTATTTTTATGGCGCTAGTCCACGAACTTTTTGATAACCCCTCGTATATAGAAGCATCCTCAAGTAGTGTAGGTTCAATTTTACAAATCATGACTCCTTGGCGTAGGGCGGAGCCACAACAGGGTGTCAAAGTTGTATGTAGGTATATGCAGGAAAAATCTTTTAAAAATCTTCTTTTCAAGAACAGCAAAGTCATGATTAGTCATATTCAGTATCCTCAAGTAAGTTTCAAGATTGTGCAAATCATGACCCCCGGGGGTAGGGCAGAGCCACAACAGGGGATCAAAGTTATTCATAGGAATATCTAGGAAATATCTTCGAAAATCTTCTTCTCAAGAACAGCAAAGCCATGAACAGTCATATTTATATGGAATCATCCTTAAATAATTTAGAATGAAATTTGTTCAAATCATGACCCCTGGATGTAGGGTGGGGCAGAAATGGAGGATCAAAGTTTAACATATGAGTATATAGAAGTGTTTAAAAATCTTTTTCCCAGGAACAGCAAAGCCATGGTTAGTCATATTTAGATGGAAGCATCGATCCTCAGGTAGTGTAGAATGAAGCTTGTTCAAATCATGACCCCCTGGGGTAGGGTGGGGCCATAAAAACTGATCAAAGTTTTACATAAAATGTGTAGGAAAAATAATCTGCAAATGAAGAAAAGAAGGGCAATAATTACTCAGGTGAACATTGTGGCCCATGGGCCTCTCCTTTTTTTTATTTTAATCGTATTTACGATTTCAGCTTATAAAACAAAGTATAGAATTTTCTTAATTGAAATTTTATTTATGTGAGTAGACCACTCGTATTGAGGTTGTCTCTTAAAGTGGTTCCAAGGTTAGGTATGTGTTTTTCTTGACTTGTTCAAGAATATGTTCATTTAAAGTATATCAATATAGTGATATATATACATTGATATACATCATATAGGGAAATTTTCATCCTCTTTTTTTATTTCCTTCCCATTCTCATTTGTGGGCGAATTCAAGCAGGTGATTTTAACAGAAACATCGTATTATCTGGGCAAATTTTAAAATGGGGCAAAAACTTTTGCAAGTGTAATTTGATGAAAAATAATACAGGGTGAAAATAACCCTGTATAGAGTATAAAAGCATCACACCAAGCCAGCATTATTAAAACATTTTAGGAACTCCTGGAACAGGAAAGTCAACTTTAGCAGCAGAACTTGCTCAGAAGACAAACTTAAAATATGTTAACATTGGGGAGATTGCCAAGGACGGTCAGTTATATGAGGGATGGGATGAACAGTACCAGTGTCCAATTCTGGATGAAGACAGGGTATGTACTTACAACACCTAGATTTCATAATCTTGGAAAAACTTTGCTCAAAAACTTGTTTTTGTATTTCAGATATGGAAAATGAACTCTATGGTAAAAACAAGGATTTCAGCATTGCAAACTGATATCAAGACCTAGTTCTCTTTAATAGCATAATATTTCTTAATAACTAGACACATAAATTGTACCAACATTCAGGTTTTCTTCATTACAATTGAACAGATAATTGAATAGAAACATAACCAAGTTAGCAAAAGGCTTTTTATTTTATGCCCATTGATTTAAAAGTCCTATTAGTAAAAAGTAAAAAGAAAAAGAGCAGAACCTTGGTTTTAATTGTAATGTATGTATATTCACTATGAAGCCTATGGGATTGCAGTTCACCTCATTCAACTTGATACATGTATTTGGTTCACAGGTTATAGATGAATTAGAGGAAGTCATGTCTGCTGGTGGAAACATTGTAGATTATCATGGATGTGAATTTTTCCCAGAGAGATGGTTTGATATCGTCTTTGTACTTAGAACAGATAACACAGTATTGTATGAAAGACTTGAGAACAGGTAAGGTCAAAATTCAACAAGTATTTTGTTTTGCCTCAGATTAGAATGATGCTCTGTCATTGGATAACAGACGTCATGTGCCTGTCTTTAATATTTCTTTGGGTGGCAGAGTTGCAAAATTTAGAAGGCAACATGGCGCAAGTGCCATTTTCGCACTTAATTCACTATGTCCCTACCAATTTGGCATTACTGCGATTAAAATTTGTATATGATGCTAGGTACCAAATTCAGGATTGGTGCTTTAGTCAATAATTCACACCACATATGATATTTAACAAGAAGTCTGTGAGCCAATGGTCACTAATAATACCCCCGCTCTGATGTGAATACACAAGTTCAGCTATGGACAAACACAGTGATAATCAGGAAAAATGAATCCCAAGATATGGCATGCCTAAACAAATATTGTGTAAAGATTTCAAGTACCTGCGATGAGTAGTTGCTGAGAAAACTGCGTCCAAAATTTGTTATGTATGGTACAGACAGATGCAGGGATAAACAGGAAGTTGACATCGGATTTGTACCAAAATGAATCCCATTATATGGCATGCCTAAACAAGATTGTGCTAAAATTTCAAGCATCTGCGATGAGTAGTTGCTGAGAAAACTATGACCAAAATTTGTTATGTATGATACAGAGAGACACACGAATAAACAGGAAGTTGACATCGGATTTGTACAAAAATGATGAATCCCAACATATGGCATGCCTAAACAAAGAGTGTGTTAAAATTTCAAGCACCTGGGACGAGAAGTTGCTTAGAACAGGAAGTTTACATCAGATTCGTACAAAAATGAATCCCACCACATGGCATGCCTAAACAAAGAATGTGTTAAAATTTCAAGCATCTGCAGTGAGTAGTTGCTGAGAAAACTGCGACCAAAGTTTGTTATGTATGGTACGGACAGACGCATGCATAAACAGGAATTTGATATCAGATTAGTACAAAAATGAATCCCATTATATGGCATGCCTAAACAAAGATTGTGCTAAAATTTCAAGCATCTGCGATGAGTAGTTGCTGAGAAAACTTTGACCAAAATTTGTTATGTATGGTACGGACAGACGCACGGATAAACAGGAAGTTGATATCGAATTCGTACAAAAATGAATCCCACCATATGGCATGCCTAAACAAAGATTGAGCTAAAATTTCAAGCATCTGCAATGAGTAGTTGCTAAGAAAACTGCGACCAAAATTTGTTACGGACAGACAGACACACAGACAGACAGACAGACACACAAGGGTAAGACAGTATACCCCCCTCTCCTTCGGAGCAGGGGTATAAAAATAGAAGGTTTTCTCCTTTTCAGGGAAATAACTGTATATTTTTGCATAACTTTGTTCCAATAATTATAACTGAAATATCTGTATCCATATGACAACTAGTGGCTAGTTGTGCAGCTCATTCTAGTGATCTAGATATCTTGGATCTAGCTTGCTTCTAAAGAGGCTGGATTCTTGTGATGTCTACTTTTTGATTTCTATACATGGTAGTATTTAAATCAATCAACTATTATTTGAAAAATGCTACATGTACCAGGTAATTTGCAATTTGAAGAAAATTAAAAATGCACAAAATACAAGGCTGAATGTGCTGTGAATTTGGTATTATCGAAAGACCATTTCCATATAGATGTTGTAGTATTTTAAAACCAGTCAACTACTGTACAAAATATGTTACAATACACGTAATTTGAAATTTAAATGAAAAGTATACAAAATACAAGATTTGATGTGCTGCTGAATTTAGTAATACTCTGTATTAAGACTATTCATGAACCTTTGACTAAACATTTTCAGGGGCTATTCGGGGAAAAAACTGGAAGACAACATCCAATGTGAAATATTTCAAACAATCCTGGATGAAGCTAGAGACTCATATAAAGTTGAAATAGTGCATGAACTACCCAGTAACACTCCTGATGATCTGGAGGATAATTTAGAGAAAATCTCAGCATGGATTCAACAGTACAACATAAACCAGGGAGCCATTGTATAGCCTCCTAGTGAAGTGTCTTCAATGATACTTGTACACTGTACTGTGCAAAGTTTTGTCAGAAAATACTGTGGAATCATTTAAATTCGTGGGGGTCAATGTTTGTGGGCAGGCAAAATTTTATTGGTTCGTGGGGATGTAATTTCGTGGGCAGCTCGTTTATTTGGTAGGTTTAATTAATCAGTATGTTGACAAAAAAATTGTTCGTGGGGATGTAAATTCGTGGATAAGGGTCACCCACGAAATCCACGAACATTGATCCCCCACGAACAATGATGATTCCACAGTAGTGGTTGTAATTTTGAATTTCTTTCCCAATTATACCAATTTAACTAATGAATTGTTCTAAACTATGCAAGAATTCAAAAACAAGATCCAAATTAAGAGAAATATTAATGCAATCTGAAAATGAAAAAAAAAAAAATTGAAGTTTCCACGTTATCCTTAATGAAAAAACCTGGATTTGTCAATTTATAAATATGATGTACATGTATATAGATGCTATTCCCTTTACATAAATACTACATGTATGTATTATTCTTACAGTACTTTGTAGCATTTAATCAGTCTTATAATGACAGTAAAAGTTGTTGTAACAATATATATGCATACAAATTACTTGATGTTTGGCAACATTTCTTCCATTTGAATAATGTTCATACATGTACCGGTACTTTAACATTATCTATGAATTATTTTAGCTCTGCTGGTCAGAAGAGCTTGTGAGATAGTAAGGTGTTCGTCGTCCATCTGTCTATGAACAATTTTTCAAAATGCTACTCCTCCAATATTTTTTGTTTTATTTTGATTTAGTTTGGCATACAAGTAGACTACCGGGGGTACGCTAATATATAAGGTACTGAATTCCGTGTATCAGTTTTGGATTTCGATGAACTGTGTTTCCATGGTTATGAAAAATAGACATTTCTGTGAAATTCATTCAAAATGCTACTCCTCCTACAGTTTTGGTCTGATTTCAGTATAACTTAGCACAAGTAGACCACACTAAAATACATAATTCTTTTATTGGTTTTTGATTTTGAGACTAAACTAAGGATCATTATTCTATGTATTGCTATTGCATAGTTTCAAGTCCAAGTGCTACTTTTCCTTTCCTTTGCTTATGTACAAACCAGTAGAGCGACAATCTTATTAGAGACTTCTGGTTCCTTTTATGGAACTTACAGTGCAGACAGAGCATTTACAAGACCTACATAAATTACTGTTTGGTGCAATTGCACATATAAAGTTGCATTCACCACTTCATTTTATTCAAGTGTAAATTGCATTTTTCTCCAAATATGACTGCTAATGAAACTTTTTATTGTTTCAATATGGTCATGATGGTGTATTTTCTTGATTGACTTTTATTTCAATGACTGTTTATACTGACATGGGATTTAATAGATACAGTACTGCAACATGAGGAATGGACTAGTCAGTTTAAAACAAATAATTTTGATTTCTAGTAATTATTATGTTACAATACATCCTGTGCAGTCTATTTTAATGCAAATAAATTGATATGTGTCTATGGACAATTTAAGGTAAATTATTATCAAAATATTATTTTTATATAATAATATTTCAGTTATTTTGATTTGCAGCAAAAACTGTTGTTGTCCTCTTTTGTTTGTTTGTTTGAATAATGAGAATAATGTAAATAAAATTAAATATCAGCTATCAGCTTGTTTTTTTCCATTTATTTTTTCCCCTTTATTTATTAGTTTTATGTAAATTGCCATTCTATAAAAAAGAATCCATAATAATGTGGTTGGTCTTAGCTTGGAATATAATGAATCCTACAGTAAGTGTACTTCTTTTACACAAAATTGTATCATGCTGTTAAATTCTCTGGTTCATTTCTAATAGACTTTACCATCACCCATAGGTTGTAAGGTCCCTATTTAATGTTAACATTTTCTGGGTATTTGCCCTGATAAATGTTCCTTAACCTGTTCAGTTACTGTCTTATTAAAAACCAACCAACATGAATTTGGCTGGTAACAAATACTCGAATCTCTATAATTATTTATATAAAGTCTTTCCCTTTTAAGCTCTTCTGAGTTCTGAGCCAAAGGTTCAAAGAGCTAATGCTATGGCCAATTGTGCGGTGTGCATAAACTTTTTAGAATATGGGCCATATCTCAAGAACCCCATGGCCAATTTTTGTCACAGAGTATCCTTGGCCCAAGGGCTCTCATTATACTAAAACTAAGGATTTGACCCTTAAACAAGGGGAGATAATTAGGAAAATAAAAACAAAAGTACTGGTTGCTAAAAAATCTTTTCAAGAACCACCAAGTCCTCGGGTATGTCAACTGAAAAGTAGGTCACGGTGCCCCACTTTCGAAAATTTTATGGCGATATTTAAATATTTCATGTACTTATTGGCTTGGAATCATCAATCTTTGTCAGTTGATGCATCTCAGGTCCTTGGGGTACATCAACTGAAAAGTAGGTCACTGTGACTTACTTTTGAAATTTTTATAGCTATATTGAAATATTTCAGATACTTATTGGCTTGGAATCAAATTTTGACAGTTGATGCATCTTGGGTCCTCAAAGTATGTCATCTAAAAAGTAGGTCACCATGACCTACTTTTGAAATTTTATGGCTAAATTTTAATATTTACAGGTATTTATTGGCATAGAATCATCAAACTTTGTCAGTTGATGCATCTTGGGTCCTCGGAGTATGTCAATTGATACCATGACCTACTTTTGAAATTTTCCAGCTATATCTAAATATTTGGGATATTAATTGGATTTTAATCATCAAACTTTGTCAGTTGATGTATTTTAAGTCCTCAGAATATGTCAACTAAAAAGTAGGTCATGGATACTTACTTTCTGAATTTCAAGGCAATATCTAAATATTTCAAATAAAAAGGAACATTTTTGGGGTCTCGGAGTATGTTTACCAGAAAGTAGGTCACTGTGACCTACTTTTCGAATCTCGTGGTTTATCTAAATATTTTAAGATAAAAAGGGGCTTTGAATCATCAAACTTCATCAGTTGATTCATTTTGGGTTCTCAAAGTGTTTTAGCCAAAATGTAGGTCATGATGACCTAATCTTGGAATTTCAAGGCTTTATCTAAATATACAGCATACTTAGAGGCTTCAAATAGAAGTGATAGGTTGTACAATTTAGCAGAAGAGCGATTCAAGGCCCTTGGGCCTCTTGTTATGATTTTTTGTTGATAACCAATGATTTACTAAAGACAACCCCAACAAATATATCTGTAACTGGCTGCTTTTCACTTACTCTGGTTTCGTCAATTTTTGTAGGAATCAAATTTTGTGGTTTTGGCAAAAAGATACAATTTTTATTGTTCTTTAAATTCATGGATAGCTACGTTTTTTTTCTATTCCATAAGAAAAATAAGTAGTTCATTGATCACTTAATTTTGTGGTCTAGATCAAGCATAAAAACAACCAAAATTGGTGTTCAACAAAAAATGGTCACACCACAGTACCTAGTACCGGGGTAAGCTAAATATATTGTATTGGCCCACTTTCAAACTTGTGTTTGCTTTTTCCAGAAATGACCACGTTTTTTTGTGCCAAAAATCATCTGACATGGGGGCAAAGGAAACTTTTGCCAATTGTATGGAAATGCATTAAAATTTGAAATGCAAATAAATTTAAATTAGTAATTAATGTTTTCAAAATTTTACAGAAACATTTTCATCTCCAATATCTAATCACACATATTTTTTTTAAATAAATACTGTACAGTTAAACACAAAATTAAGCAAGCATGCTATCATGAATTCACACTTACAGTGAAGTGATTTTCATTCCTTGTAGTTTTAAAGAATATTATGAATTTACAGGTAACAGATTACATTCATAACAAATCAAAATTGTTCACCCCTGGCACTTTGCTATTGAAGCTTGTGAGATTAATTTTAGTTCAAAGGACATGATTCTTTAAAGTTACATAATGAGTCAAAATCATGTGTTTCTTTAAAGATAATTGTATCATAAAACAAAAGATTTATGTGAAATATGACTAAAGCGAAGTTTTGAAAACTCAACTGCACTGTAAAGCAGGAAAAGAACTACAAAATATAAGTGCCGGAAAAACAAAGGTTGTATCTACCGCTTTGTTGTTATTGTCAATGTCAACAATGTCAAGGTCAAGCGACTTTTATTTTTAGCGTGAAACTTGTAAACAACATTGAATTGGAGCAAACAGAAGTGAGAAATAAGTTCTGATCATCTTTATTGAAGACTGTATCAAAATCTTCCATCATCCGATATTTATATCTATGGAATTGACAGCATGGTTAATTCAACTTTTCTGCGCATGCGTACAATAAAGAGGAAGAAGTGAAGCAATATTTTTGTGTTGGGGCAAACAAAAATTATTTTTACTTTTATTTTTCTCCAAAAAAGTAGATTTTTTAGGTTCTGAAACCTGTAATTTTCTGAAACCTAATATCTTTAAGAATTGAATAAAATTTGCATATGTCATCCAAAAATTCTACTTTTTCAGTGTTCCCATTTTTCTGTCACAGTGTCACTTTAAATTCAGTCTTTTCTATTAAACTTACGACGAATCCTGCAGATGACAAATGGTTATAGAATATTAATTTGATAGTCAGAATAAATGTTTCGCATTAATTCATTGTAGTTCACCTCTCCATGAGTTCCATGAGTATTTGCCCTTGTGCTATGTTTCCTCCTTTCTTTCACAAGAGTTCAGACAACTAAGGGAAATAATTTGAAAATTGCTTATACAAGTCTTCATTTCCTGACTAATGGATGTTGCTATGTATAATTATAATCATAACAAACACAACTTGACCAATCAAATTGTGTGTCAACAAGAAGGATGTAATCAAAATGACCATTTCATGAAAATATATAAAATAGACAAGTAATGAAGTATGCCATTTGCACATCCATTAGTTGATTTCTACTTTGCATTCAATTGAATCATCCACAAAATAATACAAACTTTTTATGATTTTATTTATCATTTTTATGTGAAAAATGATGACAGAAGTAAGATATAAGTTGATAAGTGTATATAGCAAACAATAACAATTGGAAGCTAATAATTAACAGCTACAGAAATCAAGCAAATTTTACATTTGATAATTATGTGTATTCCCATGTTTGAGGATAATCTTGTGAGCATCTGATAAGTCCTGTCTATACCCTTGGAAAATACTGTATTAGACAAGAAGAATTCCGTATCCAAAGTGAAACATGATAGTATAATATTTCTAGAGTTTCTCACTCTCCAAATCCAACCGTACAGTTTGCTTTACATTTATTATGAAGAATGTAATAAAAACAAATATAAGGAGGCCTGGACAAATTAACCAACAGATCCACTTAAAAATATAAGATATGATTTTTATAGCCATTAACTATTATTTAGTAAAGAAAAATATTCAAGTTATAATATTTAACACAATTTCCTATATTTTTATACAGAGCTCTACTTTCCCAGGAAGTTTAATGGTATACAAATAGTAGTGACCACCGAGTCCTCTTAAAGATATAGAAGAAAAATGATTTCTGTATGTGAATTACAGTGGATCACAGTAGACTATAATAGAAATGCAACACATAGCAATGTACTCTCTAAGTTTATTTTGGTTTCTCCAGTTTTTGGTGAATTTTACACAAATGACTCCATATGTCCCGTTTCTATGAATGTATTCTCACACAAGAATACATCTTCCATTCTGAAGCTCCATCCCCTTGAAAGCACTAATATCATGAAAATTATCACACTTATGCAGTATTCACTAACAAGCATTTCACTACACAATAAACTGGTACAAGCAATTTTGACTTCCAGTGATACGCTAAGGAAAACAAGACCCATGGGCCACAATGCTCACCTGAGTAACTTTGGTCATGCTGGGTTTTTTTAAATTGCCCTCTTTAATTTGTGCACCAAAATCCAGCCTTAAGGGGACTATGATTTCATCAAAGTTAAATCCACACAACATTTGGATGACTATCAATATGACTAACTTGAATCTTCTGTTCTGGATTTTTTTCTCTGTACACATGCATTGTGTAGAATTTGGATCCATCCCTAACCCAAGGGTTCATTATTTAAAAAATGAATCCACAAACTTTGGAATGTTTTGCTTATAAATGTGATTTAGTGTGGCCTTGCCACTCTTGGTAGTTTTCTTCCTACATACTCTTTGTAAAACTCTGATCCCCATTGAAGCTTCAACCTATTCCAGGGGCCCTGATCTGAACAAACTTAATCTAAACTACCTGCAGATAAGATGCTTGCATATTAATATGATTAATCATGGCTTTGCTGCTTTTGAAAAGAAGATTTTAAAAAAATTCTAAATATTCCTATGTAAAATTTTGATCATCTACTGTGGCCCCACCCTATCCCAAGGGGTCATGATTTGAACAAAATTGTACCAAGGATGCTTCTTTATTAATATGATTAATAATGGCTTTGTTCTTGAGAAAAAGATTTTTAAGATTTTTCCCCCATATATTTTGGTGTAAAACTTTGCTCTCCTTATTGTGGCTCCCCCCCCCCCCCCCCCCCTACTCCCAGAGGTCAAGATTTGAACAAAATTGAATCTACACTACGTAATGAAGCTTTCACACAAGTTTCATCTTTTCTGGCATAGTTGTTCCTGAGAAGAGGATTTTTAAAAGATGCCATTTAGTTTCATTAATTCTTAATTATCTCCCTTTCAAAAGGGTGTGGCCCTTCATTTGAACAACTTTGAATTCCCATCACCCAAGGATGCTTTATGGCAAGTTTGGTTAAAATATTGGCCCAGTAATTCTTGAGAAAAAGTTGAAAATGTGAAAAGTTAACAAAGAAAGATGGATGACAGATAAATGGACAAACAGACTGATGCCAGACAAAAGTGATCAGAAATGCTCACTTGAGGTTTCAGCTCAGGTGAGCTAAAATTAAAATGAGTACATAATATTTAAGTACTAAATTTACCGTACTTCCAGTGTGTCTATAATTAAAGTTTTTCTCTTTTTTTTTTTTGCAATCACTTAAGAATTAAGAATTTTTTTTTACTACAAATACCTTAAACAATATGCTGTATTTTTGAAGTACCAGACATCTGTTACCAATGATAAATGACAATATCGAAAATCTAAAAATCAGACAAGTTTTCTATCAGTAAAACCAGAGTCAGTGTGTCATATTACCCACACACATACACCCCATGAACACCAGGACTGCAGTCAGTTTTCTCCCTTTCATGTCGCCTGTAGTTGGCTCTTGCAAACATCCATTCAGTTTTACCTTTCTCTGTAGTGTCTATAAATCTCTGATATTGACGAAACTTCATTTTCTTCAGGTACCAGGAGTCATTTTTATTATAATCGCAAAGTCCTTTGGTTGGATCACAGCCTCTGAACTCTTCTGTATCATTGTTTGTCTGCTGGAGGTCCAAGTTACCAAAATAAGGCATGCTATTGAAGTGTTTTTCACTGCTCTCATCATCATCGTCATCATCATCATCATCATCTTCATAATCATGGAACTTGAATGTAAACTGATTCTGTTTGTTTAGATTTTGTGGGAATCCAGGGCATTCCCATCTCCCAGAAACCAAAATTCCCTCCTGCCATGGTAACAATGTTCCCTGGCAATTTGGATCCATCAACATAAAGTTGTTTAGATGGAAAGACATGGCATTCCACCACCAATCCCACTGACAACTGTACCACATATGATCTGCATCGTACATTTTATCAGCACTAAATCGTTCATCAAAGTCCTCCAGTATGTTAAAGAACTTCTGCCTCTTTTTCATATTCATCTTACAGAATTGGTATTCATGCATCTTTTCAAATCTTCTTTTGATTTTTTGGAATTTTCTGTCTCTCTTCCTCTCAAATCTTTCTGCTTTTCTTTGGTGTTTGGCCCATGGCTTATCATCATCTTTTTCTTCTTGGAATGATCTTCTTCCAGTTCTTGCCTTGAAAAACTTGGAATCTTTTTTGTTCTTCTCTTGGTACATGTCATCATTTTGTTTATGCCTTGGATATTTATCTTCTTTATGATTTCTCCAGTGGTGGTTTTTATGTTTGTGTCTTTTCTCTGTGTAGTAATCATCATTCTGTCTGTGTCTTGGATAAGCTCTATGATGTCTTAACCAGTTCCTGGCTCCTTCCAGCTTTGCTGAGATCTTCTGGGCAGCCTCTTCAACATTCATGACTACATTACTTTTTAGCTTTGTAAGAACTGGCTCATTTTTCTTCCAAAGATCTTCAGACATATTTTTCACCTGAAAATACAAATATTTCATATATAAAATCTACTGATATCTGTAATCCTCACTTGTTGTTGACAAATAGCTATTGCAAATCAACTTTAGTTAGCAAACTACTAACTTTCATCATTTTCCTATTATCATGAAAAATTACTTTTGAGACTGAGAGAGGAAAATAAACTCATGAAAGAAATTCACCACAGTGATGTTAAAAGGACAAAGTCAGGGAAGAAAAAAGGCCAGGAAAGCTAAATCTTAGCTGTTCATATATACAGTCAGATCTTTATCTCAAACTCAATGGGACCAAGAAATAACTTAAAGATATCTGAGGACTCAAGATATCCAGGGTAAAATCATCATTGGATACCCACAGGCGATCTTGTCTTTTACTCATTACCCGTGGGCAAAGTCGTTGAAAAATTACTGTATGTAGTTAATATGCATGGGTCATTTGATTGGCTGCTCCACAGAGTCGCGATGACAAATCAACAAATTAAAGTTTACGTTACCTATGTATGTTAGGCAATGACAAAAGATTTTACGTAGTTAACAGATTGCAAATAAATACACACACTGGTGCATTTCGCAGGTACTCCCATATAATTTCCTACTGGTATTTGATTTAAGTGATCTGTACGATTTGTCCTTAATCGTTTTGAAACAAAATTTGCACCTTTTAACGAGCGTCAAGATATTAAGCATAAATAGCAAATGTATTTTCAAAATTGAAGTTCCAATTTTCTGATTGGTTGTCTATAACCCACTGGTGATGAGGAAAAGATGAGATCACCCATGGGTATCCGACAATGGGGTAAAATACTTAAAGAAAAAGGGGTTTGGTTTCCAAATCACTCCAACATATCCATGGTAATTGAGATGTCAGTTTCGAGATATCGAACTTAAACTGTATTTAAGAGCTGAGATTGTAATAAGTGATTCTCCACCTTCCACATACCTGTTTCCATGTGTCCTGAATCTGCTGAGAAACAACTGACACCGAAGCCTTGGTTTTGTTTAAGATCTTGTGCATCATCTCTCTCCAATCAGTCTTCATACTGGACTGACTGTTTTCCTTCTTGAAATTATTCTCTTCTGATCCTTGGCCCCCAGACCTTGAGTTTGGTTGCTCCTCTGCATTCAGGATACTTTCTGAGCTTGTGTTAGACACATCTTCATCCTCCACTACCTCATCTCCTAAGTCTTCATCCAGAATCTCCACATCCTCTTCAATATCTTCATATCCACACTCCAATGACTCAGATTTTATTTCAGATGAATCTTCCCATACCATTTCCTCTTCAATGTCTTTTATTTTACCAATACCTTCACATTCACCTTCCAAACGATCCAATTTCAACCCTTTTTCTATGTTTGTTCCTGGATATTCAATGTTTACTTCACTCCCCTGCAACTGTTCAGATTCTTCTGATCGGTCTGCAACATTCTTGTGGTCACCAGAAGGAAATACACCTGGCATTCTATCAATCTTGTTCTCACTTTGGGAAATTTGCTCTGAGCTCCTTTCATTGTTACTTTCTTCAATTTTGTCCTCAATATCATTTTTCTCAGAAGATTCAGTAACATGGTAATCAATATCTAAATTATGAGGAAACGGGTGTACGACATCAATGATGCTAACATGTTTTTTATCCCCCTCCCTCTGTCCATCAGAGAGGCTCTCCATATTCTCCTCAGTTTTGACTTCATTGATAGAATCATTCATTTCTTCTTCCATTTCATCATGTTCATTGTCTCGTTTACGTGCACAAGAAGATATTAGTGACCCACTTTTCTGCAGCTCATCATCTAAAATCAAGAAATTGACACAAGTTATATATGTATATGTACATTACAAAAATTTGAAGGGAGTCATTGTTACCTAACAGGTTCTTTTAATTGTCTGCAAGATTCTCAAAAACTTGGAGAATCTAACGAAATGTTAAAAAAGAGCTATTCTGCAGCAAGTAAGAATAAGTTACTTTCTCTGGGGAGTTCAGTTACGTAAATATATTTGGATGCAGGAGATCCTTTTCTCAATTTTCTTAATGTTTGTATATACATGCATAATGTACTGTTGCCAAATGGATTCTAATGTGTTCTTATTGAGAATCTTCCCAATAATGCTTAAGAGAAGGAAGACATACAGTTGAACTTCAGTATCTCTTAACTTAAGCATCTCTTAATTTCGGTGTCTCTTTAACTTCGGTATCTCTTAACTTCAGCATCTCTTAACTTTAGCATCTCTTAACTTAAGCAGCTCTTAACTTTGGCATCAATTAACTTCGGCATCACTTAACTTTGGCATCACTTAACTTCAATATCTCTTAACTTCAGTATCTCTTAACTTCGGCATCACTTAACTTCGGTATCTCTTAACTTTGGTATCTCTTAACTTCGGTATCTCTTAACAACCAGTGGGTCTAGTTCACAAACATTTTACAAGACAGGACCACTCATTTACTAGACTGGGTCAGTTGGACGTGCCTTAGTGTCAAACCCTGCATATTTATATCAACAAAAAATGGCTAAAATTAAGTATTAAGTACAATACAGCAAAATTACACTAAATCTAATGCACTGTTTATATCAATTGGTCTTCATGACATCATAAACATTCTTTCATATCAAGCTTTATGTTTAAAACATAAAATCCTAGTGTTTAGAACTGTTTCTTATGACCTTTTAAGTCCAATGTCATGCCCTAATCTGGACACATTAAAACTCAGACTTAATTTACCTAACAGTTTACCTTCTTCATTCCCTGGGTGTGATCCATACTTCAAACTTCCTACCAATTTCTTCAAGTCTTCATTTTCATGCTGCAACTTGTTCACTTCTAATTTGAGTTCCAAGTTTTTCTTGTTAGCTGTTCTTTTTTCCTCCTCTGCAGATGTCACAATAGAACTATACCTCAGTTTCATCACCTCTGAACGAAGGTCAACAACTTCATTTTGAGCCTTGTTTGCCTCTTTCTTCAGTGCAATGTTTTCTACAGTTAACTTTTCCACATCCTGCAGGAACAACATAGATTTTGATCTCTAAACATACAACTTGCTATAAAGATCATAATTCATTGATTTCAAAGAAAATATATAATGTTTGTGCTCAGGATTAAAGTGATTAATACTTTCTAAGTAACTTTTAGTCTATGACTAAATTCTTTTGCTGACTTGGCTGAACATTTATAGATGAAATATAAGTAAAATCCTTTGTTAACATGTGAAGTATATCAATGATGAGACAAATTACCTCCATATCAAATTGGCAGTGTCCATCTTCATCAATGTTGACAGACATTTCTCTTAAGTTCATGTTGACAAATCTCTCCTTGGCAGTTCCTAAAAGTTTTGCACATTTTATTGTATAAAAATATATTTCTAGATTTTAAAAATATGATTGGATTGGGCAGCAGGCAATGCCTATTGCACCCTTTCCATTTAAAACCATTTAAAACATGTAATAGTATACACTTATCCACTGGCTGTGAGTGGGATAGCTCTTTTATCAAACCCACGACAGGAACTATTCCCCAAGGGCTTGCCCGAGGGGAATAGTTCCTGTCAAGGGTTTGATGAAAGAGTTATCCCACTCACAGCCAGTGGATAAGCGTTTTATTATACTGATGTATATCATAATTTCTGAGGGTTGGATTTACCTGATACATGTACTACAGTTCTATAGTAAAAACATGAAAAAAAATTATAAAAGTCTTGAACAAGTATCTGGAATAAGATAACACTGCTAGAATGAGCTGAAATCCTGATGATGTCACAATGCTACTGAAGTCAGGATGACATCATAAGTCTATAGATTGATTACAGGAAATCAAAATTGGCGGCAAAAATTGCATGAAAATTTTCCGAGGGGTGGATAGCAAAAACTATACCCCGGGGTATAGCTTTGCTATGTGTGGAAATTTTTAGACTATAAAGATAGTTATTTTACCTTCTTAACTTTATATAGGAAACATTTTAACAGAAGTATAATAATTATAGCTAACACACGATGCCGTCATGGAAATTACCGTTTTTCAGCAACCTACAAAATAGGCGAATGTGGATATCAAAGACTTATTCTGGTCTAGTTACATCACATAGATAAATGAAGTGCCAACAGACATGGGTCAGACTGTATCTCCCATTTTCAATGCCATGAGTGTAAAATTTTGATTATCACTGTTGATAATTTTGGCCAAATTTTGTGCAAGTTAAGGCATTCTGCATGGTGGCCCTATCAGCATCAATCCTTCATCATTACACACATGGAAAATGGAGTGGTCCTTATCTTGAAAAAATATGAATTTTACCCCAATAATCAAAATTAATAATTTTGAGAAGTTCTGATGAAATTGAGGTTTTTCACAGGATGCCAAAAATTTGAGGTAAATCTTAAAAGATAGAAAAATAGACAAAAACAGAAAAGAGGGTGTATTTTGATAAGAAATCTCTTAAAGTGAACAAACACTCATCACAAACTACTTTTTCTGCAGGAATAATAAGCCCAAGTAAACAATACACTGTACTTCTAAGCTTAACCTGTACACTGTGCCAAAATCTGATGCAATAAAATATGAAAATATATAAGGGGTAGTACTACAATACTCACCAATAGCATGACCAATGCCTAGACCAACAGCAATAGAAATCACCACAACCATCACTAAGTTCAAGGTCACATTGACGGTTGGATTAGGTCTAAATACATATTGTCTGATGAGGTTGTTTTCAGCCATTAGGTCACTGATGTCAACATTGGACAGTGTGGAGAAATCATCGCTGTGACGATCATCACTCCGGTCACTCTCAATGCGATCATCCTGCTCGTCTGCCATTTCTGGGGATGACTCAGTATCTGGGTCATCTATAAATATTAATTAGAGATAACTGAATCATGTTTGAATTAATAGCTACCTTTATTCCATGAGTTAATGAAACAATAGGCCACAGGCCTCAACAGTCACCTGACTTTAAAATTATACAATAATGGACTCTTTCCATGGTTTGTTATTTACCAGAAAATTATCAATATTGACCTTGGCAAAGCTGATTTTGTAAGAGGCATCCCTGCTCACCATAACCATGCACTTTTTTTTTTTTGCTAAATATCCATGGACGAGAAGATTTTCAAAGAGTTAATGCATTTTCACTATACATTTATAAGTAATAGAGCCCAGCTCTACACCAGAACCCCTGACTATGGGGCTAAGAATTTTACAATTTTGGAAGAGGCATCTTTGCTCATCATAATCATGCAACTAGTTTGTCTACTAAATAAACTAAATAAACAGGAGTGGAGAAGAAGCTTTTAAAAGAATTTATGCATAAGAAAAGGATTTATGCATATTCATTACATAATCAATAGAGACCCATCCTAATTCCTGAACCCCTGATCCTGGGGCAAGAATTTCACAATTTCCATAGAGGGCTCAATGCTTATTATAATCATGCCAACAGATTGCTTGTTTGATATCTAGGAGTAAAGAAGATTTTTGAAGATTGCATTAATTTTGATCGTTTTAGCCCCACCTCTCAGGCCCCAGTGAGAAAGAAACCATGATATTCATATTTTTCATTCCTCTTTACCCATAGATGCTATATACCAAAATTGGTTGATATTGGTTCAAATGGTAATGGATGACTGACAATGACAGACAAAAACATATAGCAATAGGTCACTTGAGTATGTCTCAGATGATTAAGAACTAGATAATGCACCTTGGGGAACTCCAAGAAACATAAAGTCCTCCTCCTCCTCTCTTGACCCTTGATCCACCCCTCCATTTTCAATGAAAGGAGGAGGATTAAGTGGTTCCTGGTCTTCTGTGCATGGAGCCTCCAAAACCTGGAAACTCTGCATGGGACCATTTTCTCCTGCCTGCAAGCTCTGCAGAAAGATAATTCAGACTCTGAATATTTATTTTTAAGCTACTTGCAATCAGGTCCATTATATTATTGTTTTAAAAACGTTCTTCTGAAGTGACAGAAGGATGAATTCATGCCTGAAAAAAGTAACTTACATTCTGTATTTCTTCTTCAGCTAGTTCTTCAACTGTCTCCTTTTCTCCTTTGTTTGGACAATTTTCAGCTTTCTCCTGTATCAAGAACATAACACATTGTTTCAAACTCTTAAAAAATTCAATTTTGGAGAAAATTTCCTAAGATGGATAAAAATTTTATACACAAAACCTTATTTTCATGTTAAAAATAATAACTGGTTAACTAAAAAATGTACAATGTCAAGAGGCATTAGGCAAGGATGTCCTGCTCAGCATTGCTCTTTCTTTTTGTTACTGAAATCATGGTATTAAAAATAAATGCCTCTGAAAGTATACAAGGTTTCAAAATTGGACACTCAGACGAAATAAAATGTTTACAACATGCAGATGATTGCACTTTGCCAATGAAAAATACTGAATCCTTAAAAGCGTCTATTAAAGTTATACAATCTTTTGGGAAAATGTCTGGTACTAAGTTAAATTTAGAAAAAACAGAGGGTATTCTCTTGGGACCCCTTAAAAACACACGAGAAGATATAGAAGGAATTAAAATGACAAATAAACCTATTAAATCACTCGGAATTTTCTTAGGACACGACAAAATATCTAATAATGAAAAAAATTGGTTGCATAAGCTTAAAGAATTTGAAAAAATATTAGATTCATGGAGAACAAGAAGCTTAACTTTTTTCGGAAAATGTACCGTTATTAATTCACTCATAGTGTCTAAATTATTATATGTGTTTACAGTTCTCAAAAATCCAGATGTCGAATACATTAAAAGTATAAATAAAATTATTTACAATTTTTTATGGAATAAGAGAGAGAGAATTAAACGCAATGCACTTATAAGGCCAATAAATGAGGGTGGTCTTGGTTTAATAGATATCGAATGCAAACTTAAAAGCGTAAAAGCCGGATGGATCAAAAGGCTATACAATGAGAACTCTACGCTTAGAATTTTTTTAGATAACGCATTAAAAAGTTATGGAATAAACTTTGAATACCTATTACGTAGTAATATTATAAATCCGAATGATTTCAACGTTTTAAACAAATTCTCGAAATTTTACAAGAATATTTTCTGTAGTTTTAACGAATGTAAATCGTTATCACCGCGTAATAAAATTACAGAAAACTTATGGTTAAACAGTTTCATTAAACACGACAATAAACCACTATATCTAAAAAACTGGGCAAGAAGTGGTGTTCTATACGTAAAAGATCTGTTTACAACAGAAGGTATGAAAGATATTACGGATGTAAAAGAGATCATTGAATCAAAAAGTAATTACTTATGTGAATATCTAATAATGAAAAAAGCAATTAAAAAGCTAAATATAGATTACTGTAATGTAAAAAACACTAATATACAAAAACCCTATTTTTATTTTCAAGGAAAAAGTAGAAACCCAGAATTTGAAAAATCAGGATTTTATTATAAAATTCTACTTTCTAAAAAGAAGCAAAAGCCAATAATGGAAACGAAGTGGTCAAAAGAATTCAATATAACAAATGGTCAATGGAAAAATATTTATACAGCTAAGATATTAAATGTATTTGATAAACAGATAGCAGAATTCAATTTTAAACTTTTACATAATCAGCTGAACTGTAATTATAATGTAAGTAAATGGAATAAAGAGGTGGGGAAAAATTGTACAAGTTGTGGACAAGTAGAATATATTGAACATTTAATTTTAGAATGTTCGGATTCAAAAAGATTATGGGAAAAAATATCAAAAATATTGAAATTAAATATATCCTGGAAAAATATTGTTGTAGGATTTTTTAATGAGTTTAACGAAACAACAAAAATTTTTAATAATGTCATATCAATTGTAGGTTACAAAATATACAAGTATAAAATGAAATGTAGATTACAAAATGAAAATGTAAATGCACATGCAATGTTATCTTTTTTAAAATCATCATTATATCAGTATTATTTAGTAGCAAAGGATGCAAAAAGTGTTCAATTAAATTACCACCTTTTAAAAAAGTTAGCTGACCAAATATGATTTTCTTTGTGTATGTATTTTGAGAAGTATATAAATTAAGATATTTCATCTATGATACTTATTTTATTTATAAAAAATATTATATAATGATATATAAGCATATGTATAGAAATGAAATGTCAGCAATGATATGTATACGTACATGTAATTTTTTTTTCTCATCTAATGTATATTATTTTGTAAATTAAATATTATAATAAAAATACCGATCCAGGGAGCTCCTGGCACCCCAGGTGAGGTATATACAGAGGGCTTCTGCGGAAGTTTTGCCTCAATATTTTGTTGTATGTTTTTGAAAATAAATATATCATTTAATAATAAAAAAAAAAAAAAAAAAAAAAAGAACATAACACATTAAATCTTAAAGCACCAGTTTTAGCATTGATATTCTAATGAGCAATTAACGTAAATCCAGTGAAGTTCATTTCTAGCATGCATAATAAATGAGCTGATCTAAAAGAGAGAGAGAGAGAGAATTAAGAAAGGAGAATCACATTTAACCTTTTGAGGATCAGGAATGGTCTCAAAGTCCCTTTCCTCCTCACTAGGTGTTAACAACCCTGACGACAAAAAAGAGGGATCCTGTGACTTGGGAAATTTAGATTTTGACTTCTTACGTCTCTTCAGATTCCCTTGATCTCTGTCTTGGTGGTGGTCAGATTCATCAGATTCTGTCAGAGAATCTGTGCAGGGAAAATTACAATTTCCTTATGCATAAAGTACAAATTCAGTATACAGATTAATAAAAGATCAAGTATAGATTTTATAGCCCAAAATATACTTTGAAAACAGGTAAATACTCGGTATAATAAAATATTGCTCTGAAATTAGCTACTGATTCTGGCAAAAATTTGATCAACTTGTATGTGGGTCAATAGCAAATTCCTCCAAAATAATCTGTTAGCGGACCGACTTATATGTGAGTATATATGGTATTCATTAAAACTTTTTACAGTATTACAATCAATGGATTAAGGAAACCTTTTTCTTTACTCCTTAGCCTTAGAACAAGGTATGATCCAGATGTGGGAGAAGGTAAAAGTGGCTCCTGAATTGACTCCAAAGACTGAGGGTCACTGGTATCCATAGTGACAACCTCAATTGAACTTTCAGAGGTCTCACTCTGGTTATCATCAGAACTCTGCAGAAGATGAACACAGTTTAATATTAAACATGAAGTAAGAGATACACTAAACCACCACTATGTACATCTTCACAAGCCAAGACTTTTAAGTCTGCTACACTTCCTGTAAACCCCTGGCAGATTACACAACCAAACCTGACCGACATTAGCATTAGCTTCTGGGCATACTGAATTTGAACTCTCTATTCCAATTAGGTAACAGCTTACAATGTGCAGCCCATGGTATTTTAAAATTTTAAATGAATAAAACAATCAAAAAATTCCATAAAATCAATCTTTTATTTTGTTATAATTACCTGTTACATAGGTAAAAGACTTAAATGATGAGATCATAACTGTTTATGGAATCTGACAAGTGAAAATGAAAAAAAATTGCTACAAAATGTTGGTCAAGATGGCATGGAAACATGCAAATTGTAAAATGGGTGTTAATAGAATGTGATTCATATGGAATTAAAGTGTATTATTATACCTCTACTAAGAATACTCAAATTTGATTGGCTTGTTAGAAGGCTTTTAAACTCAATAATGACTCCAAAAAGTACCGTTTACAGCAATAATGACCTAGGAATCATTGCACGTGGGGTATAATGACCGGTCAATAAAATTAATGACCGCTAAAAATGACCTGTTAATCCAAATTCCATTCAAATTAAAAAAAAATATGCATACAGTAATGATTGTACATTACAAAAATTGCCGTTATAAAAATATGTATAGTATTTTTAGGATACGGAACACGATTGGCCTTTAGATGCGTCATAACATTTATCGTTTTCATTGAAATTAACTTTCGTTACAATGCAATGTCAAATTCAACGAACGCAGACTCGGCTCTCTTGTACAGTAAAAGTCTGCACCAGATTGTCATTGTAGTCGGGAATGGTATCTGTGAATTTATAAAAATGCAATGTTACTGACAATCACAGAGTGTTTTAATAAATCGGCGGTGCAAAAACTTACAAGACTGGCAGCCGAAAAGTACATGTAAACAACTTCACTAGCGAATCCCGATCCCGATGGAACACTGATAACAGTTCGTAGATCTTATACATGTAATTGATTATTTTTATATTTTAGTAATTAAGCTTACAAAAATTGCCTTAACTTATATCGGTATAATAAAACAATTGATTACCCCTTATGAGTTCAACATGGTGAAATAAGGACCCTCGACCTGGCCCACTCGCTGACCTGACCTGACCTCGGCCGCTGGCCTCGGTCAGGTCAGGTCACCTCGTGGGCCAGGTCCCGGGTCCTTATTTTACCATGTTGACCTCATAAGGGGTAATTAATTGTATATTAAATCAGGCATCGTCTCAAGCCACGGTCTGGAGTCCACATATAGTTCTCTCCTACCCATAGCTACTTGATCACAAAAAGTGTCGTAATCTATATTTATGCCTCTACGAGTATTGTGACGTCATTTTCAGCCAATGACAATTAATATTTGTTTCCATCGCAATTGATATCAACGATTGACACGAACAGTATACAAGAAATTTTTTGTATCCTTTGATTGGGTATTGAAAGGTCGCGTCAAAGTTCATTATCCGACTATGCTTTACTCACATTGGTCAATATTTTAATGAGGTACAAAATATTCTCTTCTCATTCAACCACAGCCAGAATGGGAGAGATCATACATTTTGGCCGTGGTTTGCAACAATGTAAATCAGGTAATTTAGTCTTTTTTAATCCAGAGGGCTTTTTTTTTAATGTTTTCTAATTTACTTTAGGTAATAAATCATCTGCTAATTTATATTTATCAATTATTTTTTTTATGGATCTAAGATAAGCAGCCATGCACAAATCAGTCAGCCTTTCCTCTGTTACTTGACAACATCACGGAATATACCAGTAGAGCAATTGCTATTCATAATGCCATGTTCACTGAATAATGTTTTTTATTCCTTAAACAACCAACTAGAATAGAGATGAAGCAAGTACAAGGCTGTATATATAGCAACAAGTACAGGGAGTGGCAAATGAGTTACATGTGGATATTCGTCAGTTGTTCTGAACATGATGTAATGTGACATGGTAGCTGTCTTTTCATCAGTTTGAAGGGTTTAGCTTGGCAAAAATAAAATACTGGCTATAGTTCTAGTTGCATAATCTGCCTAAAGCCTTTGGTTTGGGATGACGTGAGGATCAATTCATTCAGTAAAATGATATACATGTACATCTGTCGTCATTTATTGCTGCATTAAAATATTTCAACATGGACATACCTCCAAACTTCTTCCTTCTTTATCTACAAACTCCCAGCCACTGCTACTTGAGCTACTTTCAGCCATCATCAGATATCTGTAAAAGGTCAATTCTAGTATGTTATACATCACCAGTTCTTAGATACTTCTTGTTTTCTACCCTTCAGATAAATGACCTTTTCCAAGCAACAAGGCTCATGAGAGTCAAACAGGTGCTTATGCCCAGTTTCTGTGGTGCTAAGCAGATGAGAGTCGATGGGACGCCAGTCCATTACAGGTTAACCCCTTACATAAGCCGGTACCCATTGCATCTGGGTGGACTGAGAAAAATGCAGATAAAATGCTTTGTCTAAGGACACAACACCAAGTGCCCACAGTGGGGCTTGAACCATGCAGTGACCTTTGGGTTACTGGCCAAACCCTATGACCACAGAGCCATGAGCTCCACTTGAGCCACTTATACTTGCAAGTCACCAGTTTTTAGACCCTTCTTGTTTACTACCCTTAGCATGATAAAATTATCGAAGATCAATATTAACCCATTTTTAGCAAAAACAGATCAGACAGGTTCAATAGTCAGTGGCCAGATAGCTCAGTCGGAAGAGTGCCTGGCTAGATATTCTGTGGGGCCTGGGTTCGAATCTTTATATCTTGATCCATCGCATTTTTCTCCTCCACAGTTATACCAGTGAAGAGTAGGGCTGTCACGAGTACCCGAAATAACCAAGAACCACGGTACAAGTTGTTCGGTTCGGTTTCGGTTCCATTTTTCCGGATTTCGGTTCGGGTCTGGTTTATATATTAGAGTCTGTTCAATACAAAAATGGCGTCGAAATCAAAGGAATGATGGCGATAACAGTGATAAATAAACATCACAGTCAACTGAAATCTACTTCTTTCCATGACAAAACACTTGTCACGGAAGTATTAGATAATTATCAAAACGAGCAGGAATAGTCAGGTTGTGGCTAATTGTAGGTCAAGTAGTTCTACACACTGATGTCTAGACGTTCGCATGGTTAAGACCTTTCAATGTAAATTTAATGTAACAAATAAAGATTTTTCAAGTTAAATTCATGAAATTAAGGTTTAAATAAGGTTTACACAGATGTGAATAACCGAACCGAAAAACCCGAAACCAAACCAAAAATTTACAGAACCGACCTGACCTGAAGAAATTTTGGAACCATGACAGCCCTAGTGAAGAGCCTGGGTTTGTCCATTTGTCATGCCCCCCTCCCAATTATTTTATCAGAGTATACTTTACTATAGAAAACAAAGCTACCCCCACCCCCGCAGGAGGGAAAAACTCTGTGGCCAGATGAGTTTTGCTGTAGGCCAGCTTGTTCAGTTGGCTGAGCATGGGATCTTATTACTGGTGTTTCAGAGGGCTCGGGTTGAAATCCCAGTCTGGTTCTCCTTGTCAGTTACATTAACAAACCCCAGAGTGTATAATTTAGGTCCTTCCTAAATCTTAGATAACATTGAGAGTGTTACACATAATATTTACAGATTGGCAACTGGGCTGACAAGTTTAACCAGCAGGACAAATTTGACCGACTGGCAGACAGACTGACAAACAGTACGGTTTCATATCAAAACAAATTAATATACAAATCCATCTCTACTTTTTATACACTGTTCATTAAGAAATTATAACATAAAAGAATTCTGCAAACTAACTTTCAATGTGTCTTTCATCAGACACATAAATGTTAACGTTACTTACATTTTATTCGATGTAACATCACTTACAAACTCATAAACGTGGAAAAAATAAGCTTATTAACAGAAACTTTACCTGGAGTATCAGTGTGTCATCTCATGTGTCGTTACCAACCATGCAACCTTCTTATTACAGTTGTAAGACAGCAAAATGTCCAAAATATTTATCAACAAATGTCACGTGACATATAGTTAGTTTCGCATTCCATCGTAAATATTGATTTCATGGGGAAATTCTGAAATTTAGAATGTCGATAATAATGTGCCTTGACGTCTCATAAATATAAAAAAGTTTATTATTGTCTTAATATTTCAGTCCAACTCTTGCACAAAGTTTTGACTGAGGATTTCTCAAGCCAATCAAGTTTCGACCAATTTTACACTCGCCTCTTGGTTTCACCGAATGAGTTTTGCGCGGGAAATGTTCGATTAGGCCATACAGCAGACCTTGCTTTAATAGGTCTATGATTTAGGTTTATGATTACACCATGTAAGAGTATTTTCGTGTGAACACATTTATCGATAAAGCAATGTAAACAACAACCAGTGAGCTTTACGAGCGTAGCTGCCTGGGTTGGTTGGCCTTGACCCCCCCCTCCCCCAAAAAATGCCAGCGTATATATTACTATTAAAAAAAAAAAAAAAAAAAGACAAGCCAAAATTAATTTGTGTCCGGCCCCTTAATAGTTTTGTCAGTATATAATATACATATAAAGAAAACAATGATAATTTACATATGTGTCCCCTCAAACATGTCTATAAATTTTTTCAGTTGCTTGATAGATTGTGCCCCCACCCTCTACCCCCCCCCCTCCAAACTGAAATTGCTCGCTTCCCTCATGAAGCTCACTGGTGGTTGTTTACATTGCTGTATTGATAAAACTGCTGACTCCTGTGGAAAGACTTTAACACAAATTACACAAGGCCATCATTAAAAATATTTTTGTTTCCCCTAACCCGACCCTAAAATTTCAAGTTGGGTAGGTAGGTAGGTGAATTATTTATTTTTTTTCTCACAGCAATTTTGAAAATACATTCTGAAAAATTGAATAATATCTTTATAAATAAGAAAGAACAAAAGAAACCGAATTTTTAACCGAATATCATACAAATGAAGCAAACATGTATGGTAAATTATTCACAAATATTCAATTATTCATTTGAACTTGTGCAATATCTCAGGCCAGAGTAAATTTATTGAAATCGAATACATGTATTTTTAAAAAAGACAAGATTCACAAATACTCAACCATCGGACATCCCAGTATATTTTTCAAACCTACTATCATCTTCGAGTACTTACACAGATAAAATGTTAAGGGCCTCGCGTGGCGCAGTGATTCTATAGTGTTTCGTTTTGGAGTCACAAAGTAATTCAGGAGCTCATTCTAAGTGACTCACAGATCCCTTCGTGGGACGTGGAAACTGGTCAGTCGAGTGAGACCGTAAAAAACGTAGGTCCAGTGTTGCAATATACATGTAGATGTTGACACGAAAAAGCTCCCTTACTGATTCTTAACGATCAATGGCCATAAGTGCCGAGTAAAAGTCTAAATTAGGAGTCCTCAACCAGGCAGGTGTTCAAATGTTGTTGGTCCAACAATTTTTAAAGGTATTTTAAAGCAAAGAAACAACCTATTTCTAAAGAAAAGTACACTGGACGTCTCAGGAAGCAATTCCATAAGCCAATTTTAAAGATTTCGAAAGTTTACCCCATAAATAAAAGGAATGAAGAAACGACATCTGAATTATATTTATCAAGATGAAATAATTATACAAAGACATATTTACAACTCCTATGGTCCTATATAGTAAAAATAGGACCATACAGGAACTGTTTATTAGCTCGAAACGAATAAAATGCAGTGACATTTTTGAGATGCATACACAAGGTGGGCCCCTCATCTGCTCATGAGGCAGGCTTTGCCATGCTTGCTACGTACGCTAATTTGAGAAGACACATTTGTAAATACCATTTTAACACTCATTAGTCATGATGTATTTAATTCACGAAATGTTTCAAGAGTGTAGAATTCTAATAAGTTAACGATATCCACATGAATATAGGACTCTGGAGATGCAGGTCTTCGGGTAGTGGTGTACAGCTACTTCTCCAAGGCTAGTGGGGATATATACGTCCAGACGAGAAGTCTGGGAACCATGCACCTACATGTAGTTCGCCAGTGGGTTAATTCAAGGACAAGCTTTGTTGCGTGGAGAGGAAAGGGTTTGTGAACAGGGGGCTTCTCACTCATATTTAAAAAAAAGAAAAAGAAATTAAAGATATTTAGTAGCAATAAAAAAAATGACAAGAAATTATCATTTACAAATATTTTTTACTCCATTTTAAGGACATACGCAACGTACCTTACCTACTGATAATTTTTCAAGATATTCTTAATTCAAGATTATATAGTCCCAGATGTTCGTAGACAAAAAATCAACATGCATTACCAGGGGTTTTGAAAAAATATCGATTGATGAAAATTCTTGTATAATTCAAAGAAAAATATACAAAAAATTCTAAACATATATTCTAGATGTTTTGTTTATCCAAACTTGTTTTAGAAAAAGTGTTCAACAGCATATATAGACATTAAAATGCAGCACAGAGTTCCTTTAAGTATTGGAACTCTTCAACTCCAGGGAAAAAGACAATAAAGTTCTTGAAAACTACGTTGCGTATATGTCCTCAATAAAATATCAACTTAATGTTCCTTTCCTTATATTCTTCAAAAACATTGATGATCCAAGTCAACACTTCTGTGAATTAACAGAAGTGCTAACAAATGCCGTTTCGTCGATATATTTTGAGTTCTATAGTGAACTAAATTAAAGGTTTCTGATGCCTATCGGGCTTGAAATAGTCCTGGGGTACCGGGGGGGGGGGCTAGTTAGAATAATCTGTGTTTCGGAACAAGCCCTCACTATGGAGTATATAGGACAATGTCATTCTAACGTGCCCCCCTCTTAATATGCCAACATTGTTTATAATTATATAGAATAGAAAACAAAGGTAATTTACGATTGTGCTCCCTCAATGTTAACTGATGACCTTTTTTTTGTTTTAATTATAATTATAATTTTATTTTTATAATTTGAATAATTATCTAACATGTTTTTTTTAATTATATTTCTTGCCTATACAATGTATATTTAAATTACACTGTTAAAAGAAATGAAATTTATCATCAATATCATGACATAAAGCACAGGTACTTGTTGACAGCCCCCCCCCCCCCCCCCCCGATATTCAACCCCGGGGCTTGGACATTTTTTTCACAAATTATATTTATTGCACTTATTCATCATGTGTATCATAGGAAAAAATCGTGAAAACCCCAAAATAATCGTTCCACACAAAAAATACCCCA